TTTAAATGATATTGAAGTAGACAAATACTAGTATGTCCAACTTAATGCATCAAAGGCGATACTGTTTTTAATCGTAAGGCAAAATTTTTGACATGTGGCGATATCAATATCACTGTAACGTTAAACATCACGAATAAGAACCTTTCAATTTCTGACTCTGCCGTGAGGCAAAGTTACAGGCAATCCTCAGATCGTGCGGAGCTTTGTTATGGTGAATGCAGAGGCTGGCGGCGGCAGATAGCGTAGGAGTAACTGAAGAATAACAGCCCCTGAGGAGACAGAGTGCGCCTGGATTAACCTGTCGATTTTCATTCTAAGTCTGAGAAATTACTTGCATTACGACGATTAAAGGATGGTGGCGTTGTCTTCAGCACCAGTCCAATGCGATTGGCTACAACTGTAGCCTACTTTGAGGTCGCTGACTGTAGATTACATTCACCTGGGTATCTGCCTGTATGATGAAAAATGTCCTGCGCGTTGGTTCGCCCATCCCCAGGCGCTCAACAGGTGTTAATATTCAGCTGTAATATTGCATCTGGTGCAGCCGGCGAGCCATAGAGACCATTCACGACCTTAGGCAACCCCGGTTCTGAAAGAAATCTAATGGTTATAAATCTGCACGATCTACAGTTTCAAGGACTCATTAACCCATGCAGCAGAGCCCACAGCCTTTCTAGTACTCTGACGAGCTGTGCCGGTAAGACTTCCCCAAGGGTCCACCTATCGGGTAACCATATCTGGTCTCAATGGATTCTGGTCCTAATCAAGGGACTTTCCTCTTATCACTCTCCCGGCACGCCACCATAGTCGGCACGGGAGTGTTATGTCTTCCTGAACTCATTCCACTGTGCTTCCACCAGGACATTGGGTTACGGCTAGGGGCTACGACCGGGAGAGTGCCACTTGTTTATCGTCCGTAGATCCGACATGTTTCAAAATTTACAGTTATTATTGCCCCCAAACCTTTGATGTTACGTTTGGTACTCGTACATGTATTCCCATCACTGTTTGATGATTCATCTGCAAGTTGATACTTCCTCAGACAGTGGGACGTTTTCTGGACTTGCCTGTATTCTGGGACACGTTGGCGTTCGGCGAGGGTTTTTGATGATTGCCGGGGATACCTTAGATGACAGTTACAAACGAGGGGGGTTGAAAATATCGACAGAAACTGTGGAGGTGTGCAGCTGGCCTTGATGCGACTAAGGTGAAGAATGTTGAGCGCTTAACATAAAACGTTAAATCTGTACTGTTTCTCATCTAACCTGGGTGGAGATCACAGTTTGTCAGTTCAATTGGAGGGAAGAATTTGGAACCCTCAGACTGTCCGACCGGGTGTACGTCAAGTCATTACAACAAGAGCAATCTACAGATCATGATGGTGGGGGAAAATTATAACGTTTTCTGACTGCCCCATTGCCCTGTTTGTTCTATCACTTCGCGGACTGCGTCAGAAAGACGGGGCCGCCAGAAAACGGCACAACTGTCCGTCTCCAAGATCTGCTCGGAGATTACAACAAGACGGCGAATGTCCGCACATGCAGTAGGATCAAAGAAACACTGGCGTTACCCGTTCATCAAACCTGGATTAGGGCGATTCTAGACCTTTCTATTTCCCGGCAACTCTATCTTCATCAACTGCGGATCTGTGTCCAACACAGTAAGCCACGCAATCCGGGACACAAGCAGGCCGGCGCTGAATAATCGAATATTTCTTCTTAGTTTCAAGGTTATTCCTTTAGTTTTCAATTCAAGCGGGGATTGATGTCTTTGTGATTACATATCAACACGTGCGCTGATCATCCATAATGTGCCGATGGATTACTCAACATTCGGACTTGTGTGGCTCAGATAGCCCGCGCTTTCAGGACGTTATCTCTGAGATGGATGCCGGTGGTGCACGTAGAATATTGAGTAGACTGTGGAGGCACCATGACGAATGACCCTGACAGTCTCTAAGGGTCTTCATTGTCTTGGGACCTGCAGCATCTAAAAGTGCGGCAATCCTAGTGACGCTCCATATTGGCTAGCATGGACGCGACCGCCGAATCCTGCTGCGAAAAGTCGAGAGAAATGCATCACTGTCTGTTTCAACAGAGCTCTACTCCCCATCCTGTCTACCTTACTTCCTTCTAGGACTGCACACCAGGCAACATCAGTGTTGTGTCATCCACGTATGATTGAACACAGTTAGATCCGCATACCAAGCTGCAAAATGTTCACTTGTTCCGAAGATGTCCTTCTAACCTTGCACATAATTGGCAAACCTTCGTCTGAAGATTTTACAATGATACCTGATGATTTATTAGCATATTCATGCCTATTTGTATACTATTGGGTTGTACTACATTAACGTTGCGACTGTATTTCCTCTTCTTATGTTGAACTACAGAAACATCTGACCATGATGTCCACCAGAAGCGCAGCTAAAGGTGCGACGGAGGCGTTTGTCGACATCTTCAGTGATAACGTCACTTCCGCCCCGGAATCCAACATGACCAACGCCACCTTACAGCTGCCCTTCATCAAGAACAGTCAGATCATCTTCTCCTGCTTCGAACTGGTCCTAGCGGCGATAGGCACCGTGGCGAACTTGGTGGTCGTGTACACCATCGCCAGGAACCGCAAGATGAAGACAGTCCCGAACGTTTTCGTCTTAAACTTGGCGATCGCAGACTTCATCTATTGCAGCCTGTTCCTCCCGTTCTGGGACACCGCTAACTTGTTCGTTCGCGGATGGATCTACGGCAGACCGATGTGTAACGTGGTCGTGGCGGTCTGCAACATCAGCGTGAACTCCAGCATCTTGTTCCTGACGGCCATGAGCATCGAGAGGTACCGCGCGGTGGCGGACCCGATCGGGCACGTTCAGCGGCAGTCCCTGAAGAAGACCTGGCTCATCAGCGTGGCGATTTGGTTCGCCGCCGTCCTCATGAGCCTGCCGTTTGCCGTCTTCACTACTACAGTTTCAAAGGACATCGGCGGCGTCATCCTGACAACCTGCCAGCCTGAGGCTCCTGGTAAAATGGACTTCTGGCAGTACAACCTGCTGATCTCTATGTGGCGCTTCCTGGCATGGTTCGCCGTACCGTTGCTGATCATCACGCCGTTGTACGCTCTCCTCTTCAAGAAGCTACGAGAGGAGGGCGTGTTGCTCCACATCGGGCCGGAGACGATCCAGTCCCGGAACCGGGTGACGAGGATGGTCGCCGTCGTCGTCTTCATCTTCATCCTGTCCTGGCTCCCCTTCCACGTCTACAACCTCGTCATCTTCTTCAGCCCGAAAATCGAGACGTACCCCGAAGCCGTCAACTACTTGGTCGCGGCGCTGTCGTCGGCAAACTCGACCGTCAACCCGTTCCTGTACGCGCTGCTCGGGGAGAAGTTCCGCCTCTACACGCGGAAAGCTCTGCTGAGCTGCTGCCCGTGCGAGAACCCCGACCCCCTGACGATAACGACGGAAGCCGTGGTCGCCAGGTCTCACAAGAGAGCGAAAACCTGGTACGCGCGGGCGAACTGGAACAGGAGAAACGACTCGGTCAAGTTCAGCTCAGAACGGGACGGTAAGGAATACAGAGCGTTAAACCCGGTCAAGCGGCATAAGTCTTTCTGAAAACTCATCAGAGAACTTATAAATGTCCGATGATACAGACAAATATGTAAAAAGACTAAAAGACTAAACATATCTAAGGCCGTTCGGACAGCCTAGGAACTTGATTGTCTGCTTTATCATCAGATCTGAGCTGCAGCTTCAGTAACTTATAATAAGTGAACCAGATGATAGTCGTGTTCTTGAGAAAAGATGTCCAAGACATCAGCAGAAATTCGTGTTAGAATTAACACTGTGCCAGTGTCGAATGGAACATGAAATGTCAAGCTATAATATGTAGAATTTATTTATAGAACAGAGATATATTAAGACCAATAGAAACGGTCGGATACTTTTTCCATGTTCAATGTGGCAATGTTGTCAGTAAGACGCAAAGTGTACATGCAGGTGCGTGCTTGAAGTAAAAATGAAACTGCTGCTTTAAATGTTGTTTTCCTGTGAAGTCGGTACACTTAAGTCTACAGAATGACGGAGCTTTTAGCGACTATTATTAGGTCAGTATCCACCACTTAGGACAGTACACCGTAGCAACACCCAAAAGGAAAGGACTGTGGAGTTGTAAGCCGTAAGGTCACAAACGAAATTGGAGGACAGATTTAAAGTTATCCTAAAAGTCTAAACGAGGTACGATAGTCATGCGGTGATTTGTGATGTACGTCGCTCCATTTTCGGGAACTTTTTTGGATAAAGTTCTTTCGTGAACGCTATTTGGCCCTAGGAAAAACTGGTCCAGATACAAATTTTGGTTCCTCTTTTTTGTCTTTGATCCGTGATGAGACTGGACAGGCACGGAACCTTGGAATAGGAGTATATTTTCTACCTTGTTGTAGAGCGTATTTCAGACTGTACTTTGCCTAAAATGCGGGAATAAAAAAAAGTAAGAATGTTTCATAATGTATGAATTTCTTTGAAGTCTGTTTTAACTTGTTTCAAATGGTTAAAAGAAAGGAAACAGTTATACATCAACAATGTATTCTAACAACACATTGTACGTATGTCTGGTTATGTTGGCCTGGAAAAAGTAAAAATTGTAGATATAACCCAGAAGAGGACCTTGGAAAAGTTTTATCCCAGAAACTTTGACAAGGAATTCTTCATTCTAATGGACGCCTTAGGCCATGTTGATTTGATTATATGGATGACATCCCTCCGGGACGACCCCAAAACTGATGCGCGCGTGCGAAATAAAAAAAGTAGTTTTGACAAAAAAAAGTTCTTTTCATTATGAAATCTACGTGGTCATGAGGGTTGAGCAAATGGCACAGAATATGATTTGGCGAATAATCTAGTCTTCAAGTTCATTTCTTTGCAATTTCGTCTTTTTTCGTTTGATTTTGGCATTCTACGACATTGGTATAGTTTTAATTATTTTTTTGGTAACTTATGGTATATTTTTGCTCATTTTGCAACTGTTTTGTACGATTTACAGTATGGTTGATAACTTTTTTTTTTTGGAAACGGCCGAAAATCCATGCGCGCGGGGATGTCATCCATATAATCAAATCAACATGGCCTTATTCTAACTGAGAGGGCGGTTCCTCAGTCTGTCCCTTGCGCGTAATAATTTCTGCAAAATGTTTGCCAACAGCCCCGGGAAGATCCTATCATTCATGCCGGCATGTGGAACCTCGGGGCTTATCAGATTTTACGGCGTTACCTGGATTCATAAAATACTTTGTTTTCAGTCCAGTGGCGAAATAATTCAGAAATATCACCGATTCTCTCCTGACTGCCAAATAACAAAAATAATGGATAGTTAAAGGCAAGTTTTGTGGAGTTGCCAATGCGACCTCCTCGTTTTTATGTGCATGTATTCTATACGTGCAAAGTAAATGCATTGTGCTGCAAGACTCATTAACAAAGAAAAAACTGCATACTTATACCGTATACATGGAAACGAATTTGTAAAAGGACATTTCAATTAGAAAGATATTACTGCAGAGCGCATTTCAAGTCGTTCTGACTAATGCTTCTAACGAGACAATATTTTGCCAACCTGACAAGAAATTAAACAAAACCAGATGATTCTGAAAGTAGACTTGCACGCGAGAGAAGAGAACATGCCAAACGTGTGAAATATTTGGATCACGTTCTGACTTGTGTAATTTCCTGAGTCTTCAATGCCGGAGGACAAAAAAAGCCCCAAGACTTGTAGGAAAATCAAATTTGCGTTCTTTAGATGCCCTAGAATTTGCTGAGGCGAACCCGGAAAGCTTTGTGTCAAGAAAAAGAGTCTGAAAAGTGGCTTGATGTGATCCTTTGAGAGTTCCTTCAGCATTGCCCGTACCTGTGTGCTAGTCCATGTCAAACCTTCACGTCAAGTGATCACACTGATCACACCGCAGACATTCTCCGTAGTCAACTTTTATTGCCTAGTCTCAAGCTGGAAATAGTACACATAACAATGAGCATAATAGCAATCTCTCGAGATGGAAATATGCCTACTGAGGGCAAAATTATAGCATATGGCATTTTATCAGCTGCAGTGCTAAAGTTTATTGAAAATTGAGCGCTTAATGCTTGATGCATTACACGATTAGCTGGAATTGCGTGGGTTGAAAACAACTGGCAGGGAATCAAATCGTCGCATTATGGAATTTTGTTTTCTTCGGGGATCAATTCTACGCTCTGAAAATAAGCATACCGCATGCGGCTCCCCACATGCCATGCAGCTATACTTAGAACGTTTGGCGTCGCCACTGTCCTTTCAAATCAAGGGTATATATAGCTCACGTTCACAGCAGTCATTGTATAGTGCATCGTTCACGTGGAAATACATGTACATCGTTCTATGACGAAGCGTATCTCCAAGCAGATCTTTTAGTGACTGCAAGACAGTATCAAATTGGCCGGGCTGTATCCAATACACCACCGTGGGGCAGCCAATAATGGACCTATACCATTATTACGTCACGTTTGTTTACCTGTTCTAAAGAACATTCTAGTTAAAGAATAAAGATCATTTCAAAGTTTTCAAAGTAAGGTATGTCTGAATTTTGCTGCGTCTAGTTGTGTTGACACAGCATTACAAGCCGCATGGGTGATTTAGTTGTGACATTAGACGAAAGTAGTACTGTATGAAAAGCCTTATATTAGGCTAACGCTACACAAACACACACCGCGCTACGCACCCCTGTACAATATAAAAGTCGATTGACCGGCGCGGCATTCATTGCGGTAAACAAACTGTGACGTAATAATGGTATAGGTCCATTACAGGTGGCCAAGAGACTCCCCTTGCCCCCTAAGAATCTGCTTGAAGATTAGACGAAGGGTAGCTAATTGTTAAGCTGCGGACTTTCTAAATTGTGCTCAGTCCCTCTAGCTCTCCTGGTTCTGGAGTGTCAGTCAGTTAGCTAATATTGCGGTCGTTAAACTGTCGTACAGTTAAGCAGACGGAATGAGTCTTCTTTAGAATGATCGCAGAGTTAGGCAGATAAAAACATCAACTGAATCCCAAAAAGACCATGCCATACATCGCGTAACAGCATGCAAAGATTATGTGCTAGTCCATGAAATGGAGCATCAAACGCAGATGGAGTGGTGCCAGCCTGACATCAGGATAGTTGAGAAGAGTTCTCTACACCTGCGGCTTCCTCACCATCAGTAAGAACACAGGGAACGAGACCTCAACCGTCACCTCTTCCACCGGTTTCGTGGACCCTGTGGCCTCGTACAGACTGTACAAAGAGAAAATGTGAATATCTCAGTCTTAAGCAAAAAAATGAAAGGCAGTGAGAACAGATATCAATAGCTTATTCATCAGAATTCAAAGTCAACTAACCTAAACAACAATGACATGCCAAAAAAATCATGAACTCAAAGAAATACCTTTTTTGGAAGTTTTGTAGAAATGCGCCGTTATCTTCAGGATTGCGTCTACAGTACTCGCGATAGGCTGAATAAGTGGACACCAGACTGACGTATTGTGGGATGGTAAATTCCGCTTTGATAGACATCGACTCATCTCTGCAGCGATAGGGGGACGCGAGTCAACGACAATGGCAAAACTATAGACAATACAATATAATTTGATTTACCTTTTCTAAATGAAAGTCTATATATCGTAATAGAAGGAGCTACCCAGTACGGCAAGCAGTGTTGAAAGACAATTAAAAAACCACAAGCACAAGCTTACCTAACGGTCCCGTCATACGGCATCGGCAGGGTTCTGTACTCCGTGAAGAGATACTGGTTGAGCTTCTCGTGGTAGCACTCTCTCATGGGACCCTCATGGCGGAACTAAACACAAATCAGAGCTGTTAAGAGAGAGGTACTACGGAAGGGTTGTACGAAATGGGAAAAAATTGCCTAACGTCTTCACCTACAAGACAATGGTCATAGATATCTGTTCATCTCTTCTTCAGTTATTCTTTCAAAACCACAGCCGCAACCACGCTACCGAAACATTTGGCGACGGAAGGCATGCATCATTTCCTATCGCATTTTCAACTTTGAAACACTAAAGAGTAAGCAATAAATGATATCTTTATAATATTTATACTTGATTTGCAATACGGGTCAGCTCTTCTTGGGGGAAGATATCGTCGATGGTACCGGCCACTGCCAGACATCCCCCCGGCACCAGTACCCGGTCCACCTCCGCATGGAACTTCTCCAGCTCGAACCAGTGAACAGACTCCAGACACATCACCAGATCAACGCTCCCGTCTGGGGCTGGGATAGACTCGGCCGGGGACACCCTGGGAACGAGAAGGCTCCGAGATAAGCAAGGCAAGAGGTGCGGGGGCCTTGTAGTCACCCTCATGACCATAGAAATGTATCATTATTATGTTAACCGAAGGAAAACATATAGTTTTTCCTCAGTTTCTTCCTCTTCTTCTCCAAACAAATAAGGTCGATGACCTGAACCAGACGTATATCACCATGGTAACTGGTTACATAATGTTGGGAGTGCTAAGGGCAGAACTGAGTTCAAGAGGGGCTGCATGGTCATATATGAATGTGTTTGACTAAAAATAAACAAAGTTTGTTAATCTTGAAATGCGTACCTGTATTCAACATTCTCGTGTTTGTTGTTAGCTGTTGCCATGGCAATCTGAGGTTCGCTGACATCCATCCCCAGGACGTGTTGGAAGTGAGGAGCCAGGATCTCTGAACTCTGACCCGAGCCGCAGCCCACGTCAACAGCATGGAGCAGAGGGGAGGATTTCTACACATGCGTAGAGAACAAGAGTTCGGAGATTTCAGACTTAAGCTTGAGGGAAGCATTTGGAGGGGGGGGGGGTGACCTTCATGTTCACCTCATTTCCTGTGTCTGTCCTTTTGATCCCCTGCCTATCAATGTTCCCCACCCATCCGCTACTCTGTCCGAACAAAGAAGCACAAAGCAAGAGTCACATGAAACTGTTGATCAGTACTGCACGAGGCTAAGGGGGTTAGCCAAGACCTGTGAGTTTCACAATGCAGACAGGGAGATCCTTATGCAAGTAATCTTAACTTGTAACAACAGCAAGCTACGTCGCAGAGCCCTTCAAAACAAAGACATCGAGTTAGATGGTCTACTGAAGTTGGCACGTTCTCTAGAAATCGCTGATAAGCAAGCTTTGGTAATCGAGAACACAAGCAAGTCTCACGCTGATGTAAACGTAGCCAGGAGAAGTCATCCAGGGAGGCCAAAGTATTCAGGTCAAACCAAGACCGCCCATCAATCAAGGGCGCCAGGAGCCAGGCCTAAGCAAGACAGGCCACAGACAAAAACCACATGTAGGAATTGTGGTGGGATCTTTCCTCATGGGCCCCAGGGCTGTCCTGCACGCAACCAGAAGTGCCTGTTCTGTTCGAAGCTAAACCATTTCGCTAAAGTGTGCAGGGCTAAGAGGGAGAGAAGGGTGCACAGGATAAAAGAAGAAGATGTCTCTAACTCAGATGATGAATACACATTCACGGTGGGGAACAACCCTGGCAGAAACAAGCTTCCATATAGAGAAGTGAAAGTGGGAGCAAACAAAGTAAACTTCCTGATAGATACCGGTGCAAGCATCAATGTCATCGGTGAAGAGACCCACCGGAAAGTAGGACGACCCAAGCTCACTCCGTGCCGTACCGTTATCAGGCCCTACGGAGGAGGCAAGCTGCCAGTCAAGGGAAAATTCCAAACAGTATTGGAAAGTGGCAGCAAGATAACAGTTGCGGATATATACGTAATCGAGGGCAAGAAAGCCAACAGTAACCTTCTGAGCTATCCAACAGCAGTGGATCTGATGCTTGTAGAATTCAAGCATTCTGTAAATGCCATAAAAGCAGATAAATCTCAACAGTTGGAGCACGAATACCGAGATGTCTTCAACAATGGCATTGGCAAGCTCAAGAATACACAAATCAAGCTACACGTGGATGAGACGGTGTCACCGGTCAGACAGCCACACCGGCGCATACCATTCCATATGAGAAAGCAAGTAGAGAACGAGTTAAGAGAGCTGGAGAAGCAAGACATCATCGAACGAGTTGACGGTCCAACACCATGGGTATCTCCAATAGTAGTGGTGCCAAACCAAAACAAATTCGATCCGAATCTGCATCGACATGAGGGAAGCAAACAAGGCAATCCAAAGAGAACGACATGTGACGCCGACCATTGATGATCTAATCCCATGACCTAAACGGCGCCACACACTTCTCTCATCTGGACCTGCGTTCGGGATATCATCAACTCGAACTGCACCCAGACAGCAGAAATGTCACAACATTTGCTACACATGTTGGACTCCGCCGATATAAGAGGTTGATCTTCGGGATCAATGCTGCCAGCGAGATATTCCAGAATACAACTGAGCAAGTCCTGGCAGGAATCAAGGGAGTCAGGAACATAAGTGATGACATCATCGTGTATGGCAAGGGCCAAGAAGCACACGATCGAGCACTCCACGACACACTTAAGCGTCTCCGTGAAACGGGACTTACCCTCAACCACGAGAAGTGTGAATTCAACAAGACAAGCCTCGAATTCTACGGTCACGTTTTTGGCAAATCAGGAATCTCAGCAGCGCCCAGCAAAGTCAAGGCAATTGTCGACTGCCCGGCACCAACAACACCCGGAGAGATCCGTAGTCTCTTAGGCATGACAAATTTCTTGTCAAGATTCATCCCTGAATATGCGGCAGTGATAAAACCACTACGAGACCTTACAAGATCCAACGTCCCCTGGACCTGGGACGAAGAACAAGAGAAAGCGTTCTCCGAAGTGAAGAAACTCCTGAGTCAGGGAGCGAAACCTGTCCTACTTTGCACAAACAAGACGACAGAACTACTCGTGGATGCCAGTCCGGCGGGACTCGGCGCAATCCTCTATCAAAAGGAGAAAGATGGATCAACCGCTATCATAGCGTACGCAAGCAAGTCTCTGACAGATGTGGAAACAAGATATAGCCAGACGGAGCGAGAGGCACTAGCAATCGCCTGGGGATACAGCATTTCCATCTCTATCTGTATGGAACTACATTCAGAGTTATCACAGATCACATGCCCCTGACCTATATCTTCAACAAACCAAACGCGAAGCCACCACTGAGGATTGAGAGATGGTTGCTCAAACTGCAACAATACCACTTCGAGGTCATCTATCAGCCCGGAAGAGACAATCCGGCCGACTATATGTCAAGACATCCGCTACCAAGGTCAAAGGAACTTCATCACATTTGCACAGCTGAGGAATATGTGAACTACATTTCACAGCAGTCAGCACCCAAGTCACTATCACTTGAAGAAATCAAGGAAGAAACGATGAAGGATCCTACGCTACAAACAGCGATACACCTACCAGAGAAAGCGGCAGATGGCATGACCACAAATCAGCAGAAAACTGCGACAAATCTATCGAGGTGATAGCGAAAGTACAAGGCGAACTGACCGTGAATCAAGACCAGGACCTACTCCTACGTGGAAACAGAATCATTATCCCAGCGACACTCCAAAGCCGAGTAATCGCGATAGCACACGAAGGACACCAAGGGATATCAAAGACAAAGGCACTACTGCGAGAAAAAGTATGGTTTCCTGGGATAGACGACAAAGTGAATGAAGCGCTAAAGGGATGCCTTGCATGTCAAGCAACGACAAAAACGCCAACTGCAGTACCGCTTCAGCCAACCGTTATGCCAGAACACCCGTGGTCAGAACTATGTGCAGATTTCTGGGGACCATTACCCAGCGGAGATTACCTCCTGGTAGTGATCGATGAACACTCAAGGTATCCAGTGGTGGAACACTTGAGGTCGACATCTGCACAGGCAGTCATCCCGGTGTTAGACAAGATCTTCGCCATGTTTGGTACCCCTGAAGTACTGAAGACGGACAACGGCCCGCCATGGACGAGTACTCAGATGAAGTCATTTGCTGACTACCTTGGATTCCACCATCGGAAAGTCACTCCATATTGGCCATGCGCCAATGGAACCGCCGAAAGGTTCATGAGAGTACTGGGGAAGACAGTAAAGGCAGCGGTGGTCGAAGGAAAGTCATGGAAACAAGAATTGCACAAGATGCTACGAAATTATCGTGCAACTCCTCACACAACTACAAACCACCCTCCTGCAACACTGCTCTTCCAGCGAGCCATGAAAACCAGGCTACCAGAGCTGACACTGAAACAACCAGAAGTCAACAAGGAAGCAAAACAGAATGATCAGAAAGCAAAGGTGGAGATGAAGAAGTACACTGACAGAAAGAGAAGAGCGAAGGAAAACAACATCGACATAGGAGATACCGTCCTAGTGTCACAGAGAAAACAGAACAAGCTCACACCTCCATATGACCCCAAACCACACCGAGTGATTGGAAAGAAAAACACCATGATCACTGCGGAAAACAACGGCAGAAGAATAACGAGGAACGCAACATTCTTCAAGAAAGTAAAGATCGAAGAAGAAGACAGCGAAGACGACGGCCTAGAAGAAAACAATACTGAAGAGAACAAAACTGAAGATCATGCAAACCGTAACCATCCACAGACAACGGGAAATACCAACAGTTATGTCACCAGATTCGGGAGAGCAGTCAAACCGCCGAAAAGACTTGACCTGTGATGTACATACCATGAACGATGTACTATGAAAGTATGGACACTATTCGGAAAAGGACTATATATGGATTGCATGCAAAACGGACTCTAGATAAAAAGGGATGCTTAACAACCTACTAACAAATTCTAATATTTTGAAAGACTCTTGAGATGAACAAAAGAACAGTGTTGAAATGAACAAGAGAACAAGAAAAAGGAAAAGCACAAAATCTTGAGTAGATGTGAATCAAAGGAGAGCAAGATTTAAAATTTTGAACGGACTGTCAAATACATGGACACTAGTTTTAAGATTAGTTTTAAGAGTGAAAGTTAAAGTAAAGGAAATGGATTTCAAATCCAGTAGGGGAGGAATGTAGTATTTTAGAACATGACCCCTCACATATCTACTGTACAGTCCCTGAAATATAACTCCTAACCCGGCCACTATACTAACACATGTTTTGAATAAAAGCACACTCTTCATCCTGCACTACTGAGAGTCGGACGTCCCTCTTTGTGTCTCTTATAAACATGTGACATAACAATGTATATTGTTAATATTATACGGTAACAACGACAATAGAAAGCATTGTATTATCGCCGGTTCTAACCCCTCCCTCGTGCGGGGCCGCGGTCACCTGTTCGAACACGTGCGAGCGCACGTGCCTGCGTTGTGTTACACAAACTTTAGCTGATTGTAACGGTCGCTGTAACTAGTGGAAGTAAACCTTGCTTCTTACTCGAACATCGATCTATCTATTATAAAGTGTGACAGGTTATGATCAACAAATATGATAATCTTGTTATTTCAGTTTAACTCCAGTCTCACGAGAACAGAGTTATGTACATGTAATATGATATTTAAACATCACCTTTTCCTTGACGAACGCCACGACTTTCTCGGCGAACTCCGAGCTCCACTTGGGCCGGTACTGCTGGTATATCTCAGCATGGTCCGCGTCACTGAACAGGTGGGCAGACATGGTAGAAAAGATCCTTCGGCGCAGTATTTGACTGTAGTGCTGTATATTTTTTAAGTAATCCTGAGAGAAACGTGACTATGAGCTGAATGGCGTTACGTGGCGTTACGTCCAATGGTTACGTGGGTGTTACGTCCAAAGGTTTGCGACAAGTTTTACTTCCGGGGTACATGACGAAATCACCCGGCGTCTCCAATGACAGATCAGCTGGTTGTGTGGTAACCGACAGACGAATATCCAGAATAATGTGCAATTTTGTGATTTATCTGTGCTACTGCTAGTTACAACGGGAGCAAGAATTTCCTACCACAGACCAAGGACATTATACATTTGTATCATCCATTATATCCTTTATTATTATTTTCAAAAGCCTGAATCTGAACTTAAACTACGGCGTTAAATGTACTTCGGGTTTATAAGTACATGTACGTTCTTGGTCGGGAAATGAATATACTTTCTCCTTAAGTGAAAAATCATTTTTATATATTTACCAACTTTTTAATTAACATTTCTACCAAAACGCTAGTGTCATATTTCACCAACTACCAAAAACGCTAGTGTCATATCTCCCCCCACCCGCGCGACCACAGCGCCCTCTATCTGTTGAGGGAGGTATTGCTAGTTACAGACAGAAATTCAACTGCATTTAACAATTAAGATTATTCCGTGCTTGAGCAACAAGAGCAACACATGACAGAATGTGAGTGACTTTTTTTTCATCAGCTTACAGATGGGCGTTTTGAGACCTGGCAATGTAGGGCCAGGCAGTTCTGGTAACTACAGTACTACTCTACTCTACTTCTTGTGAGAAAGTCTACAACTTAAGGCACAATTAACTAGAGTTCCCCGATCTCATACCTTCGCCAAATGACTGACAAATTATAGATTAGATTATTCCCCCCTGATTTAAGAAATAGGAACCTAATTTTCATGAATTATATCATTTCATCATAATCTCAACCAAAAGACAGTCTTATATAAACAAACAAGGCATTCTAGTATTTCCTAATAAATTATGCAAATGAGGTCCTGATTTGAATAAATTATGTTTAATGATGTTCACCTCAACTTAACTTTCAAATACCATAAGTATGAAATTACAGGCAGTTATCATTACATAATTATAAAATTTTCTCATTAATTATGCAAATTAAGTCATTATTAATATAATCAATATCTGCCTGTGTTTCTCTCGTTGTCAATTACCAATGTCACAAGCTTCAATTGTCTTATTATGGAATGCAGCTGATTTATAGAATTTCCCCATAAATTATGCAAATTACATCCACATTTGCATAATTGTCACATAATTATATTAAGCATCACGTAAGCTACCTACATACCAAAAATCATGACGATCCGTCAACCGGTTATTGAGTTATCCTCTTTTGAATATTTTCAAGAATATATCCCTGCAGTTCCAGAGCAAGCCACTAGGGGGCCCAAACTCACGTCACTTCTTCCCCAGCACAAGAGCTACCTACCACCCAAATTTCATCACCATAACATGTCTAGATCATGAGATATCAAAACCGGAAGTTCAGCTGCAGTACCATAACAAGCCGCTAGGGGGTCCAAAATCTAATCATTTTGAGGTCTCATCAAGACCTACCCACCTACCAAGTATCAAGACAATCCATCAAGGCCTTCTCAAGTTATCGTGTTGACAGACAGACACACACACACACACATACACGAACGCCTCTGAAAACATAACCTTCTTGGCGAAGGTAAAAATCCATTCAGATGTCTTTGATGCTTCTTCCTCTCGATTCTTGGGTATCTAATAGTAATACATATATTGTACAATGCATTGCCCTTAAAATTAGATCAGATTCATACAAATTTTTTATAAGTTTCATAAAAATCTAAATATTTCATAAAAGTTAACAAAAGCAGAAAAGGAAATAACTTTGATTGTCAAACTTAATGTATGTAACCCCCAATAGGCATTGTCATCTGATGCTATATTATGTATAATGTTTGCTACATCTGTGGTTTCCTGGCCAAGAGTAAGACGACAGGATAAGATGCACGTATGATCACTTCCTCAGGTGGTATGGTTGTTCTCATGGCCTCATAGAACCTGGAGAAGGAATAGAGGACATCAGCATATTGCATCTGCAAGGTTCATATTTCATATTTCTAGTTCAGTATTTTGACAGACATACATTGATCAAACCAAGAGAGAAAAGAGTTCATACTCACATACATACATACACCTGGAAGTTTTTTAATCACAGCATTTAAAAGATACAATACATACTGGTGCTGCACTCAAGCACTTTTTAGTCAATAACAATAAATCAAGACGAAACACTAGTGTTTCATTGTACCTCTGTTGTAGGTCCTGTAGAATGGCACCTTTGTCCTCAGGGTTACGTTTACAGAACTCCCTGTATGCTGACCATGTGGACAGGTAGCCTATGTACCCAGGCAGAGTGCAGTCCATCTCTATAGACATGGACTCATCCCTAGATGGGTAGGGAACATAAACATTATACATTAGGGACAGTCCATTTGAAAATGTCAAGTCATATCATATGCTTCGGGTTTACGGACCTGAGTAGCCTGACGTACTAGCCAGGCCAGGTGGAAAGGCCAGGTAGCCTGGCTGGCAGGCACTTGGGTTTTTCCGTAAACCCCATATACTTTCCCCCTTGGAAGTTGGAATGGCCTGCATGAAGATTGTATATCAAATATATCTTACTTATCTAATACAGTAAGAACATGGTCATTGCTAAGAAATGTGATTTTATCGCCTGATTTTATTACAATAACAAATTCAATGATCTTGCTGGAAAGCATGGCCTTACCTGACGTTGTCCTCATAAGGCATGGGAATACTGTGATATCCGTCGTCAACATGCCACCGCTTCTCATGCCAGCAGTCACGAATGGGACCGTGGTAATAAAACTGGGGAAGTAAAAAAAAACAAAAACATGCTGAATAGCTACAAAATTTGCCCAATAGGATCAGAATTACCAAGAAGCCAGAGGAAGTTGAAAAGAAATATTAGAATACATTAGACATGTACTTGTATATAATCATTCATCCATGCATTATTTTCAATGTCTTCATGATTGATCATCGCTCACCTCGTGAAAAATTCTATTCAGTTCTTCAGTAGCGTCCTTGTAGCTGAGAGAGTTTATACTGTAGGTATAGATAGCCAGACAGCCATGTGGTTTCAGTACCCGGTCCACCTCTCTGTGGAACTTGGGGAAGTCAAACCAATGAGCTGAGGTCCCACAAGTCACCAGATCTACGCTGGAGTCTGGAACAGGGATGTGCTCGGCGCTGCCAACTCTGCAATTCAAGCAAACAATGTCAATGGATAATGCTAAATGTATACCAGTATTCAATAGTTCGTAATTACATTTCAGTCCATACCATGGAATGCATGAAATATTCACCTTTGCGAGGGAAGGAGATGGACTGAAATATGCTGTATTTGCTCCCAAGCAAATGTCGGCCTTTCTAGTTCTAAATAGTTAAGTCTGTCTATCTACAGTATGTCTTGTCTCTTTGCTCTGTACCATCCTCTGCTATTTTCTTGGTATATAACTGTGAGCAATGGTTCACCGACTTCACTCTTTGATTTCCAACATTTGTAACTTGTTTCTGAGGAAGTGAACAACAACAAAATATATGATCAAGAAGTCAGTGGTGTATGTACCTGTATTGGACATTACTGAGTTTGTTTTGTCCTGCTGCCGTGGCAACCTGCGACTGGCTGACATCGATGCCGATGACGTGCTGGAAGTGTGGTGCCAGGATGACTGTACTCTGGCCGGAGCCACAGCCGATGTCAACGGCTTGGTCCAGAGGTGGAGTTTTCTGGAAGGTGTGATAACAGGTGAGATGAAAACTAAGATAAAATCGCCTTGTCGCTACAGTGTAACATTTTTTTAGTTGCCTGAATTAATTAGGGTCCCGTGAATCTATCCTTGTGTGAGACTCTGCCATAACAAGTGGTTTCGACAAACGTATACCAACATTCAAACAACACAATACAAGTTACAACTCTGAAAAGTCCTACCTTTTCCTTCACAAAAGTCACTATTTTCTCCGCCAACTCTGGACCATAAGTTGGGCGGAACTTCTGATACAGCTCAGCGTGGTCAGCTTCATTGAACAGATGGATCGACATCCCGCGCCAAATCTTCTTCTCGACACACCCCGTAGCTTTTAACAAATGGCTTCTAAGGAACAGCTTGTGACAAGATGTTTTAAGTAAGGACTTCAGGAAGACCATTGCCAAGATGTTTCCTGTCCAACTTTGGTCTAGCAAACTGATGGAGGTTAAAGGTCAACCTTAAGTGGCCATCCCATCATGCCCCGCGGGATTGACAAGTCACAAGATGGCGGCAGCAGGGTGAAAGTACGGGCGCTGGGTTATTCCGCTCGTCTCTGCCCTCTTCTACCGCTCTCCTCAACACGACACACCGTCTGTTAGCAGCGATTCAACCGCACCTTTTCCTTGACGAATGCCACGACTTTCTCGGCGACCTCCGAGGTCCACTTGGGCCGACTACTCTCGCTAGCTCTCCTCTACTCTACTCTACTCTCAGTGTGGTCCGCAGATGGGCAGACATGGTAGAAAAGATCCTTCGGTGCAATATTTGACCAAGGACATTATACACAGATGTCCTTGATTTGACGAAATTACCTGAAGTGGTGTATATTTTGGAACTAATTCTAAGAGAAACCTGATAATTTACTAGCTGAATGACGTGACCTACGTGTGTGTGGTATAAAGCCCCAAGGAGTGTGTGAAAAGTTGTACTTCCCGGTTAACGTTACATGACGAAATCACCCGGCGTCTCTAGTGACAGATCAGCTGATCGCGTTACCCCACAAATGAATGTCCGGGACAGTGTGTGATATTTATGATGTTGACTGTGCTACTGCTAGTTTGGGTTTAGTTACAACGAGAGGAGGACTTCCCTACCACAAACCAAGGACATTGTATCATTTATGTCATTTATATCCTTTCTGGTTATATTAAGTTACTAGTAGCGTCTGAACCTGAACTTCAACTATACGGTGTTACAAGTAAGTTCATGGTAGGAAAATGAATGTACAATTCTTTTAGTTGATAAAGAATTCGAATATACTTAATACCAACTTTTTCACAATCATTTTAAAGGGGGGGGGGCAAAGTGGAGACCTCCTTAATTTTACCAAAACGCTGGAGTTCAATGGCAAAGTCAAGTCAAGGTTTATTGTACAACAATTGCATTGGGTACAATGTATGACAAATAACACACTAAATAACTAACTATTTCTACCAGCGTAAGTATTATCAATCTAACCTTATCATTCAATACATGTATATGTTATAAAGGAATATTACATTTCACATTGTTAGGACAAGGTTTCTCTTTTGTATAGCATTATGAACAGATACAGAGTCATAATAGAAGCATGTTCAAGATTTCTCTTCTTGTCCCAGGTAGTGTTGTTTTGTTCTTACATGACATCATGAGTCGTTAAAAATGATTAAGATCCATTCACATATTTTTGACTTAGGCTGCATACATACAATCGTAGGCTGCATACATACAATCGTAGGCTGCATACATACAATCGACAAATGCACAAAAAGCCACAATTAGATTGGGAAAAGCCAGGTGGCCCATTTTTGAACTTGAAGTACATTTTAACAACAGCTACCCACACACCGAAAATAAAATAAAAAAGAAATAATCGAGTTATAACATTGACCCACACCATGTCCAAAATGATCTTATACTTATAAGTTATAGTCTTCTCAACGAAGACAATAATACTGTTTGCTACATCTGTGGTTTCCTGGATAAGAGTAAGACAACAGGATAAGATGCATGTATGATCACTTCCTCTGCTGGTTTGGTGGTTCTTACAGCTTCATAGAACCTGGAGAAGGAATAGAGGAGCAGAGTGTTCACCTGCAATGTTCATATTTTATATTCCAGTCTAGCATATTGATAAATTTATTACGAAGTATACAAACAATACATGTATACCCAAGAAAAGAGCATGTTGTAAGCCAATTAAAATTGTTCTTTTTTATTGCAACATTTAATAGATACAATATATGATAGTGGTGCCACACTCAAGCACTTGCTTATACAAAATGTATGAGCACCACCACTAATAAATCAATACATACCAGTAAGACATACTAGTAGTGTTTTATCATACCTCTGTTGTAGGTCCTGTAGAATGGCGCCCTTGTCCTCAGGGTTACGTTTACAGAACTCCCTGTATATTGCCCATGTGGACAGGTAGCCTATGTACCCAGGCAGGGTGTAGTCCATCTCTATAGACATGGACTCATCCCTTAGAGGGGGAAAAGATCACATGTACATATTAATAAGATCCCATTTGGAAACATTAAAGAGGAAGTAATGTATGTACCTACTTTCCCTTTGAATAGTCTGCAGGCAGGATGTAACTCATATTGATGCAGTAAAGAGATGGTTGGTCATCACAAAAGAAAATTGAAGAAAAAGAAATGGCATTTTATCACAATAACAAATTCAATAGTTATGCATTACCTTACCTAATGTTGTCCTCATAAGGCATTGGAAGATCTCGATATTTATTTGCAGCAAGCCACCGCCTCTCATGCCAGCAGTCATGAATGGGACCACTGTCAAACTATGGGAAAATACAAATACTTTTTTTATGGATTTAGCTCACACATCTATGCCCACCTTTCACTGTAGGAAGGTGGGCATAAATGTGTGTCAGCAAAATTCCAGAGCTGTGAGACATTCCTGTGGACATTCCATGCCTGTGGATAGAATTCCTGTGCAATTCCTAGAATTCTTGCAAATTACATACAATTTTTTTTCTTCTAAGTGTAGCTGAGGCTATCGCCCTTGACAGAACTGGTTGGAGGAACCTGACGGAGGGGAGCAAGGGGCCAGTACCTGGCCTGGGCACTTAGGCAGGCAGGACATACAATATTGTACCATTAGGCTTCCGTCGACAAAAAACTTTGGGTATGTGCAGGGTTTCTCTTTGACAGATACATTATGTCCACCAAATCTCTTTAGGAGTCAAACCAGTAGGTATCAACATGTCTGTGATTATTTGAAGGCACTCAGGTAAACATTACATACAGCATCTGTACTCTGTGTGAGCTGTCTGTCTGAACATGTATCTGCCAGGACTCTTTCTTATAAGAAAGCAGTAATAATGTTTTTGTGTCTGATCATGACTCACCTCCATGAACATTCTATTCAGTTCTTCAGTAGTATTAGCGTCCTTGTAGCTGAGAGAGCTTTGGCTATAGGTATAGACAGCCAGACAGCCATGTGGTTTCAGTACCCGGTCCACCTCTCTGTGGAACTTGGGGAAGTCAAACCAATGAGCTGAGGTCCCACAAGTCACCAGATCTACGCTGGAGTCTGGAACAGGGATGTGCTCGGCACTGCCAACTCTGGAATTCAAGCAAACAATAGATAATGCTGTTCCGAGTATTCCGATGGTTGGTAATGCAAATTTTACTACATTGTAGCTTAGTCTGTCTGTCTGAGTCTTGTCTCTTTGCTCTGTACCATCTTCTCAGTTACTTTCTCCGTGTATAACTATAGGAGTCACTTTTTGATTTCGAACAGACAAACTTGTTTCTTATAAGTGAAAAACATAAACATAGAATGGTATTAGGAAATCAAGAACGTGTATATCGTCACTATATGTACCTGTATTGGACATTGCTGAGTTTGTTTTGTCCTGCTGCCGTGGCAACCTGCGACTGGCTGACATCGATGCCGATGACGTGCTGGAAGTGTGGTGCGAGGATGACTGTACTCTGGCCGGAGCCACAGCCGATGTCAACGGCTTGGTCCAGAGGTGGAGTTTTCTGGAAGATGTGGTGACAAATATCCCAATTTACCCATTTAAAGCAATCTAGTGGCAAATTCCTAGACTGACGTATTGCTGCAGGATAGCTCTGCATGGCCTAGAATGAAATCTTCTTGTCTTGGTCTTGACGTTAGATCTTAGCAAGTGGCATTTGAAAATTAAATCGTTATATGTGTTAAGGTGTTGATTAGTAAAATGATCCATGTTTAAATTTTCGATATAACATGGAAGATACATCTTCTAGGCATCACTGACTACTTTAGTACATCTTTTGAGTTGCCTGAATTGATTGGGGTGATGCTCATCATCACTGAAAGGCTAACGGAGGGAACCAAGGAACCTCCTTAAGCTTGTTGCACCCAAGCGTAATGGTTCGCGAAACTTAACTTAACTTAAGGCAGGTTTTTGGTCATTTTACCAGTGGAACGTTCTATTGCAATAGGAGTTCCCCAATTCCGACCTAGTATGAAACACAGGTCGATCTGAGGAGTTTAGTATTCAAAAGATACAAATTATTACTACAACAATCTATAGCTACAACTGTTTTTCTGTCCAAAACAAGTCCTCTTTTTACCATTACGCGACTTCCTCCAAAGCGGCTGTTTCAAAATCAAAATTGTATTTTTAACATGCTCGACAATCCCCAAACAAGTGTTGAATTCACTGTCTGTTGTCGGAGCATGCGAACTGGACCGAACTTTGTGAATTTACCGTTAAGAACACAAAATCTTTGTCCATACCTGTGGGTATCTATATGCACCCATGCATAACGCCGCAACAATTATTTTTCAAACTAGTCCGGAATTAGGGCACCCCGCCCCTTAATTGAGTAGACAGCCACACTTTTTGCGGAAACCTCCAATAAAAAATAACAACATTCATACACCACCACACATCTTCATAATAAGTTACAACTCTGAAAAGCCAACATTACCTTTTCCTTTACAAACTTCACTATTTTCTCCGCCAACTCTGGACCATAAGTTGGGCGGAACTTCTGATACAGCTCAGCGTGGTCAGCTTCATTGAACAGATGGATCGACATCCCGCGCCAAATGTTCCTCTCGACACACCCCGAGGCTTTCAACAAATGGCTTCTAAGGAACAGCTTGTGACAAGACGTTTTAAGTAAGGACTTCAGGAAGACTATTGCCAAGATGTTTCCTGTCCAACCTTTGGTTCAACCCAACCGAGCAGACTACTTTCTTACCCAGTCGAACCACAGACTTCTATGCGCAGCCGTTCTGCGCTTCTCTATCTCGCTCAACAGGTCGATTTTTCGTGACCTAATTTTTGAAGGAGAAACCGGTTCCTGTAAATATACAAACCTATATACTGACGTTGGTATAGTTGCATATGAATCCCACTTTTCTAGCTTCTCCAGATGGTTTAAGTCTTTTGGAAGGGTTTCAGAAAGTCTGTTTGTGATGACAAAACTTGATAGCCTGGAACCCATCGGTGAACGCTTTGTCTCCGCTCCGTTCTTCCGCTCTGCCTTGAAGGCAAAGCGGTCACGAATGGTTTCCAGGCTAAAAACTTGATTTGTTCGTTTTATGAACTTTCCCGTGAAACAGTGGTTGAAAGTTGCAACATTGCGAAGTGACCCCCGCGGCGCGAAAAAATGAAACGCGCTGTCTGGGTTCTATAAATCGAACGCAGAAATTTAAAGCCGATTGACGATTTTTAATGGTCAGTACCTTGAAGTAAAATCCTCTTTTGTATATAAGTTACTTGAAAGTTATAGTAGACAAGGCAAGGCTCTGATTTTATATGTTTTGTCTTTTACTTTGATGCAGTGATGTTTTTCATGCCTTTTATTTGTTATGGTGGTTGTGTATATGTGATGCTCCCACTGAATCAAAACAATTTATTTTACGAAGTTGTTTCAGTGAGAAATGGATGTTGTAATAGTTGGCAGAAACTTAGCACAATATAGGTATCATTTCTTGTTTTTAAACAAGAAATGATACCTATATTTATATCATAAAACTTGTTAAAACAAGTTTTATGATATAAAAATTTGAAAATGTAGAATCTTGTTTCTTTGGCCCGCTTTGTTTTTTTCGCCCTATCGCATTAGATTTGGAGTCTGAGGTGGATGTGATCAATAAAATTTATTTGCTGTGGCCCTCCTGACCAAGCAGACTGGGGGAGGTTAAAGGTCAACCTTAAGTGCCTATCCCAGCATGCCCCGCGGGATTGACAAGTCACAAGATGGCGGCAGCAGGGTGAAAGTACGGGCGCTGGGTTCCGCTCGTCTCTGCCCTCTTCTACCGCTCTCCTCAACACGACACACCGTCTGTTAGCAGCGATTCAACCGCCATGGCGTCCAGGCTGAAGTGAGTGAGAACGTTGTGCCTAAGCTTGTGATTTTAGCGGAGATATAAGCGTCTGTCTTGACCGGAAACAAGCGGGCTGCCTGTTGCGGGCGTCACGGGTGGACAGTGTTGACACTGCCGCTGACATCAGCTAATCGTTACCATAATTTAGTTGTACTGTACAGTCTAACAGATCATTCACGGGCATTTTGTAGACCTCTACCCCACGAAGGAAGCCGGAAATCTGGCCCCGTTGTGTCTTTGTGGGCCGTCTCGGTCAGTCGTCATGTGTGGGGGCGGGCCTTGTAGTGAGCTTTGTTTGGATTTTTAGTGGGTGGGATTTTATATGTGCAACCATTTTGGTTAGCTCCATGAAGCTTTCGTCAGAGTTCTATAAACGCCATAAAAATCACGTGTATTTTGATCATCTTGAAATGACATGATGTTGCACCTCCCTGCATTTTGCTGCCAGACAATTTTTCAGATGGCTAGAAGCCTTCAGATCGAATGAAGTTGAACCACAACAGCTGTCATAGATTTAAATTCTGTCTTTCTGTTGCAAACATAATTTATCTGACTTTGGATACTTTTTATGGAATCCGATTATCTTAATATGAATAGCATACAAGAGCTGATAGACTAAGATATATTTAGTTGTGGTATTGTCTACCATTCATTTGTTCATTCAAATGTATGATTGCAGCTGTGGCACCAAAACACCATCTGCCACTGCTGGTATTGTTGAATAACAAAAGGAAAAGGAAACATGCAATTCAAATCTCTCATTATCTTGGCAAGAGAGCATTGCTCCTTTTAGAGGGAAGTCAGCATTAGAATTCAGATCATACACTTTCCATGACTGTGCAAGTTATATCATTTCTGGTTGATGATATGTCCCAGTACGGTATTTAAAATTAAACCCATTTCTGTATGCAGTCTTGCAAATCTAATTAAAAGTATCATGGCAGGTCACCCTGGATGTCCTATCGAGGGACGAATGCAATAAGGAAATAGCAGCTTCATTATTCAATTCTCTATGATTAAGATGTAATGACTGACGTATGATATTGATGATGCGGTCTTAGCGCAGTATCATTCTTCTAAAGTAGTGCATTGGACAGGCATTATTGGCATATAGATACTACTAGTACACACTGAAAAATTTCTATGCAGCATTTTAACAAAATTTGCCTAGTCAGCCTGGTCTTACAATTTACTAAATCATTGTGCATCTCAACTGATATTTAAACAGGGTTTTGCCCTGAGTGTGTATTTGCAGGTAAAATAAATTCTAGTAAATGAAATGAAACTTGACTTCCTTCAAGACTGACCTTTGACCTAACTGGGTACAAAATTCACCTCTCCCATTGTAAAGCACCTGTAGGGCATTTCCTGTGTCTGGCCTTGAAGCATACTTCAGAATATCTCTCAAAACAATAGATCAAAAGGTCTGCAAAGTTGTCCTGTGGTCTTTCCTTTCCAGTTCTGAAATACAAATTTTTGTCTGCAATTTCTGACAGTTTATAACAGTCTAGGTACTGATATTATATATTTTAACATTGCATCACACATAGCAATATTAGTCTCTTCTATGGTATGCACATTTTCATATCTCGACTACAGAGTGCTTCATGCTAGTATAAACAGTTAGTCCTTGCCAGGTTCCGTGTACATGACATGTCCTGACCTCGTGTTCTTGTTTTGTCTGCAGAGAAAACCCTGACAGGACTTTTGAGTGCTTTGTGGAAGTGTCAGCTCCAAGTGAGAAAAACAAAGGTGGGTTTTACACCAATATTTGACAGATCAACATCTGGCCATGGTGTACCTGTATTGGTGTGGGGCTTAATCTCCAAGCATATCTTTCGGTGGCAAAATGGATACTGTATTACCACCACCAAAAGATCTGCTTGGAGATTAGTGTGTGTATGGGGGGGGGGGGGAGTTAGTCAGTAGGGAGACAGTATTTTTTATGAATTAATTTATGAATTAAGATAAGAATGCAACAGCATTCTTTAGATCCTCATGCCAGCGGAATAAACTGCATATAGATTATGGCTTGAAGACTTTAAATAATGTCACAATACAATCAGCATCATGGCTTTGCTTTCATTTTTGAGGTACGATAGGTCCGTAGACCATAATTATCAGCCAATCTCATAAGGTAAGCTCTAGATCTCTGGCTGAATGAGGTAACCTCACCCAAGGAATTCCCTCAGGGACTCTATAGTAATTAGATTACGTCATAGCTGTATGTGTTATGGTATGGGTTTATCTGATTACCTCCCATGGCTTAGCTGTATCTAAGTATAAAGTAACCTCTAATCAGGTTTTGGAATTTTGTTCTGCATTTTCAAGAGCTTTTGCATTCCTGACTTGTTGACTGTAGTGCTGAAGCCTTGAAGTATTGTACGCATGCCTGTCTGCTGACTGATCCTGACAGGCTAGCTTTACCTAGCTTGCCCTGGGGCAGTCTTTGCACAAAAAGGCCTGGCAATCGTAGTAGACAGTACCTCATATTGATTGGAATAAATGAATGTGATTTTATATCTGGGAATTGAACTTTCAGATACACATATAACTTAATCATACTAATATATCTTATTTAATCCCATATTTCTATTATATCCATTTTCTATGATATCCTGAAAAGTAAGTCTAAGGCTCTTGTTTTTCATTTCCAGAAGATATGGTTGTACATGTACCATCATTTTTTTATTTACTGTGCAACCAGAATATCAGACAATCATGACATCATTCCCATCTCTCTGTCTACTCTATATTGACTTACAAGTCCCATTGGTCCATCAAACCAAGGCTATTATGATGTCATGTAAAATTAGGTGACATTGCACCTTTCCATAAATAGGCATGTACATGATCATGGCATAACAATTATCCTGTGTCATGATGTTTTGTTTGTCAGCATATATGTACAGTCATGAAACCATCACAATGCTGAATTTAAGGTCCTTAGATGTTGTGGTGAAGGTTGTTCCTCATACATGTATCTTAATGTCAGTAAAGAAGTGTACCAACCACCATCATGTAAATGCAGCAGGGACCTGTCACAAAAGTGTCCAATTTAAAATCTCTTGTATTCAAACCTCGAGACAAGCTGTGTGTATCTTATATGAATCTGTATGTACAAGATTGTAAAGTCATTAAAACCATCAACTGTTTATGTAGCATACTTCCAGTTCCAGAAAGACCAGGGGAACTGGTGACTCAGTAGAAATTTCAAGGCAAAATCCTGACATGGGAATGTTACTTCCCTCCAAGGCCATCAGCAGGATGTGTTAGTTTAGGAGAGCAGCCAGATGATAATCCAGTCTGGGGGCGGGCTGCTGACAGACTCTGCCTGCTCAGTCAAACCTGCACAAGAAGGCCAAAAAAAGGGTAAACTGGTCTTCTTGGACAGGTGGCCTTCTTGGGCAGGTCAAAAATTGTGGTTGTTTGTAGTCAGGTGGCTGGCTTGGAGAGATGGCTGCTTGTTTGACTGTATTTGATTTATTAGAAAGGGACTGTGGTATACATCTTCATCATTTCTAGTACAATTGTGTATACATGTACATGTCAGTGCATCATTGTAAGCCAGACATCACCCCCACTGAATTTACAATGATGTGTGCAAAAACTAATTTACCCTCATTTAGCCCCAATCACTGTCACAAGTTCCTGTTTTTGTGCCAAACTGCAAACAAGTAATTATGGAAGGCCTGGCTTCAATAAATGTTTCATCATCATGTTTAAAATAATTGTTTACTCTTACTTGGGTCCACTTGAGGTCTTAGATTAGTTATTAAATTTGGACTTTACTACCAAAGTCAGAATACCAGGTTATCAAAAGTCAAAAGTGCGTAGAGCTTCAGAGGTAAACTTGTGAGAAATAGATTTGCCAAAATCAAAAAGGAACTACTGATCATTATACTTGTGAGAAATAGACTTGCCAAGATCAAAAAGGAACTTCTGATCATTATACTATTTATAGAAAGGAAGTAGGGTAAAGCTGGAATGTTGTGTGTGGTAGTAACATGCTAAAACTCACATCACTTACATGTACCTGAAGGCTACAAGTATGTACAGCAGGTTTGTGTTACAACAAAACCATTCCACTTTCATACGATATACTCAGCTCTTTCCTATGCCTCCTACATGAACTATGTATTTATTATCATAGTTGCCAGAACAATAATGTATGTGGATGACAGATGTTGTGCATGTTGTGGTCTGTTTCTCATCTTTCCCATCTGTTGGTCTCCACTACATGCGTGACTGAAGCAGAAAATTGTAAGGTGTTCCAAGCCCCTTTTCTTCTGATACATACATTTATCATCCACACTTCCTTTTGAGGCTATATAGGAAGTTGTTTGAAGTATATTCTCAGACAAAAAGTGAAGAGGACAACAGTAAGAACAGTGGTAAATCCTCTAGAAGCTTGTTTATTTTCATTCCAACACAAGAGATTGTTCCAAGCTTGTACATGTAACTAAGGTTTACACATATAGCATGGCTGGCAGGGATTATGGTTATACTAGTTGACAGTTGTCTGGACCTTGGCGCCAAGGTCCAAGAGACAAACGGAAGAAGCCACTTTTTCACTAAACCTTGTCACGCAGTAAGAGTAATGTTGACAAGACTCCAAAAGAACCTTTATTGCTACAATGTACTGTACTATTGATGATGATAAAGTGTAGCATAGTTTATTTCTGTATGCCATATCAGCCCTTCTTTCTGTTGAGTCATGTACATGACTATGTATATGAATATAAACTAGATATCAAGTTTAAAGATCAAGAAGTTGTAACAAAGCAAAAGGACTACCATATGTTGGTCCTCTTTGCAGATTTGGCACATTGAGTTCATAATGAGTTGTAAGCATTAAGTGAAATTACAGGTTACTCAGTCCAAGGACTTAAGATGAGGGTGAATTTATAGGCTGAAACAAGATTTGGATGAATGCACAGGGGGTATTTTAATTGTCAGTATGACCTTGTTGTAAATTGTGTAGCGAAAGGAATAGATTGGTCTTTTAAGTTGTAGATTTAAAAACTAATATCAGTTGTTAACTTGATACAAATGTAGGTTACATTTGAAAACTTTAGGCTTCCTTTCCCTCAATCCTGTATCATCAGTGTGTGTCCCTTTTTTTACGACTCATAACTCTGTTTTGGTAGGCAATGCCAATAATTAGGGCTGATTATGTATCACTGTGGGTGGTGTGGTTATTTCTACCAGACAGGCAGCAGGGTGTAAAGCTCAGGTCATGACCCCTGGGCTACCAGCTGTTACAGCGAGATACGGTCTGGATCAGACCACATCGTTTCACAGCAGGCAACTACTGATCTACAGGCTCTGGCAATATCTGGTGCAGTGTGCACTTGTTGCTTATGCTGGGTGTTGTTTTCTCTGATGGTGTAAACAAAATTTGCTCGCACCAGACAAGGAGACCATGTAAACAAAATAATCTTAAAACACATACGCATGAAGATTGGACTGATGTCAAGTATGGTTCCAAATGTTACCGGTAATGTCCTTGGTTATACATAAAGTCATGGTATGTGAAGAAATTGTTACTCAAGCAACTGGATAGGTTTTTAAAACTGGCAAGATGTTTCAAATAGCATCTACTACTTTTGTCAGTGACAGAGTAGCAATGCCTTGTGTATCTCATTACCTGGATGTCTAACCTTCATTGACGTACAATACATGACTTACTGTCTGGAAATGTAAGCTTAGAGTAAAAATATATAGTTCAAAACCTTTTAACTGATCTCCAGAATATAAGAGGAATACATCTGTACATGTACTGCCTTCGTAATGAGTTTAGCAGTTGTCCTTACTCGTGTCACATTCAGCTGATACCATAATGTCAGGGTCGGCCATGTTATGATTATCATGTGATACATGCGCTACGTCAGATCTGAAGTAAAAATAGCAGACAAGGCTATTCATGAAAGATGGCAGATTATTATTAGGGAAGAAAATGTGATTCTAGATGGTGTTATAGCATCATATTCTACTTTTAGGATATATAAGTTTCATGTTTATTTAGAGAACTGAATTATGACTATAAGAAAGTATAACACTGTAACAGTGTATATAATATTATTTTATGTATGAAAATGACTTGTAATAAAACTCTTGTTTCTTGCTTTTCAACCAGATCCAGAGATAGCATGGAAATATCCCAAGGACTTCCAGGGAGTGGTGAGTTTTTCTTCTAGTCCTTAAAACTATGCCTAAAATGTTAACAATGTTATCAACTATCGATGTTCATATTGATTTTTATCCTTCTTCTATCCTTGGACTTAATTTATGGGTGTGAATCTTGTAAAACTATTTGAAATTTAAAATTTGTGTTAACAATTATGAAAGATTAATGAGATTGTGTTTTTTTTTCAGGATGGGGTTTTGAAGATGATGCCCAAGTTTTGTTTCCCCCTTGACATTGGCAGGTAGGAATATTTTAGTTTTTGTTGTTTATTTCAGTCGTTCCTAGTAGGGGTGACCCAGTGTGCTTGGCTAAATATGCAGGCCGTAGCGGAGCAGCATAGCACAAGTAGCTACTTGAAAAGCATCTTTCTTCACCTCAGTTTAGGACGACAAAAAAAGAAGAAGACTATCTAACCAGTTTGTTGTTTTCACACAGCACTACCCCAGTCAGTGGGCAACACTTCACCTTCGTGCTGACAGACATCGACAGTAAGCAGCGCTTCGGGTTCTGTCGCCACTCCCCTGGAACACGCTCGTGCCTATGCATTCTCAGGTCAGCTACAGACGCTCTTACATACAGACATCTGTATCTGTATAGCCCTTCGGCGTAACACACCAGACATCTAGGGACATAAGATGGTAGAAAGATAGGATATAGGGACTTTCTTATACACAACCAGGGATTCTTCCTACCTTGCTTACATTGAATCCCTGGATTGTGTAAGAAAAGCCCTTTATCCTATATTTCTACCAACCTGATGGCATTTTAACCCTTGTCCTGCTGGCAATTTTTACACAATATTTTCAAATAATTTCATGTCTTAATCAGGTCACAGACCCTTGACTTTTTTTTTGCCCTGCGGCGGCGTAGTTACTTCCGCATTCGTTGCGTTTCGCTGCGGTGTGATGCGTTGCACGAGAAACACCCCCAAATCGCACATATACAGGGCACTATATAGATGGTACTATATGTGCAACCCATATATATATGGGCCCCGCAGGACAAGGGTTAAGAAGGTCAGCTAGGGATAGTGGTATGTCTTGTCCTTTTGACAAGAAAGCTTGCCAACATGCTGAAGAGTCACAAACTATTTTCTAATTTACTTAGAACGGTCATAATCTATTCCAAAATGACAGGCTAGCTAGCAATTTGGAGTATCTTCACCAAACACTGTAGCATATACATACATGTAACTAGCAATGCCAACTTTTCCCATGTACATTGTACTCGCACATATAGTCTCTTCTTGCACCATGACAAGAATTTCTAATGTCTTGTTTCTCCAGCTACCTACCATGGTTTGAGATATATTACAAGCTGCTGAACACTTTAGGAGAGCTGCTACTAAGAAAACAGGTTGGTGGGATGGTTTCTAACAATAGTAACATGAAAGAAAACTAATTGGAAACAAAAACTTAAATCCATTCAAAAGATGAATATCCTAAAGTGACCCATTGAATCAATTTTGAAGCAAACTTACAGAAATGAAAGATTAGACAGCATGCATGTTAATATGTAGCAACGTAAAATTAGCTAATACAGAATTGTGACATTGCATGCCGTATGAAGAATACCACTATGGATGTATTTTCAGCAAGAACAAAATCTTATAATATACAAGTAATGATAATCCAATATGTCAAAGTTTTTTTTTAGATATTATAAACTTCCTCTATATTCTAGCATGTCTATACTTGCAGGCTGGGTTAAGGTTATTTTCACTACTTGCTCACATACATGTACGGTGACTGATACTGGTAGCTGTAGGCACACTAGCTGACTGTAGAATTAGACTGTCTCTAGTCAACATGTGTTGGCTGTGCAATTAACACATAGCGGGTGTCATGCCAGGGTTGTACGGTGTCAACTGACCTGCCAGCACTATGTAGTACAAGTGAATGACAGTTGTCTGAGTCTGTGTGTGGATGCACAATCTGCCCTACTAACAACCTGTTCTTGCAACGCTCAACATACAGAATTTCAAATGTTGACAGGGACATTCTCATCATACATAGAAAGATATTTACAATCAGTCCAAAGATTATGTGTGTCATTCCTGCCAAAAAATTATTGAATGCCACCAAGAAAATCAGGCACTTTTTTTCCCTAAAGACTCACTTCAACAGAACAGAAAGGATGACTGATTCAAAAGAATTTCCCAAGCTTAGCTGCTCCTTTCCTCCTCCTGTAGTTTCACACATTTTCAGCAAGTTCAGCAAGTGACAGCATGCTATATCTACAGTTAAACATGTAATATAACCCACTTAAACCACGGGACTTCAAACACTTTGCCCCTGAAGTTTGGAAATATTTGAGAGAGACCAGTGATAGTTCTTGTAAATTGTGGGAGAAATCTCATCCAATAGCAAATTTGCCATCCAAGCCAGCCCAGAAAGTGTTGGTATATGCAAGCTTCAGAAACTAACCTACCTACTACTTCATCTCATAGTCATACATGACATTTCTTCTCCTTTTTCCCATTTTTGAAAGGAGGTCTTACACAACCTTATCATTGCTCTAACTGACCATTTTAATCCCTTTTAGAGCCAGCATTGCTTTTAGTTGCTTTCCTTTTCATTTTGCTCAGGGTGGAGCTCATACAATGAATATTCTACATTCATCAAATTTTATTTTGTATTGAAAATTGTATTGTTCTTGAATAACTTGATCTTCTGCATCACTATTTCCTATGTAGTATATCCAGAGATAATAGTACAATGCATTGTGAAGAATTCTTTGTTTCTTAAAGTATTTCTCAGTAACCAACTGTTCAAAATTCACCAATATATATTCTATTGAAATAAAGTGTGAAATGTAATCCTGCGGCCCACCCGCTCCTCTTCTCCCCTCTGATTGGTTTTTATTCTTGTCTACTCACCATCGACCCATCCTTCCGTCCGTCCATTCGTGTGTGTGTATGTCACACTTTCCGGGCACCCCTCCCTCCGACATGGTGTGTGCTGTACTTGGTGTGCAAAGGGGGTGACTACATTTACGGTTAGACACTTACTGGTAAGTTTTTTTTAACACCGTAGGTAAGTAGGTTTTAGGAAGTTACACTTACAGGAACTCAAGTTGGTACTTCACCCCTCATTTTACATTCACATCAAGTAGCTGGTGATTTAGAACTCAATACCAAATGAAATGATAAATATTACCAATTCTGTTGACTCATAACTTATTACAAATTCTTGAAAATTCTTACAATGTACTCATAACTTACTACAAATCCTTGGAAATTCTATTGGCTCATAAGTAGAGTATTTTGACATGGAAACTTTTTTCTTTAAGGTGTACTTCTATGGGCTCTCACAGAAATATAGAAGGAACTTGCACTTGCATTTTTTTATGTAAATGAAATCTTCTTTGGTTCAGTCCTGACTCTTTTCTTCAATCTTCAATCATTTTGTTCACTCCTTTGTACACTACAGACCTTGGCTCTAATTGTCTAAAAAAGTATTAATTCCACTCCTACAAGAAATTCTACATAAATTGATCAACCTTCTAACAGGGAAGCATCATACGTTTTCCTTCAGAAATTTGATGTGATTGCACTAATGAGGTGTGTATTACTCTGGGTCCTGCTATGACCGTTAGTACAACGTTGTTGACTGCTCTCCCCTCTGTCTATCCATGACCTGTGTGTGGTACTGTACTTCAGAGGTCTGATGATGTTGCTTATGCTGTCTCACTGGTGAGTAACCCTCGCTACGCATCCCTAGTACTAATGCATGCGGCGTCTGACATAATAAAATCATACTGCACTCGCTAGCACACTGTATCTCTCTTTAATTCTTACCTTTGTAACCCAACATCCAAGCCTTTCTAAAGGTAGTGATATGATCTGTGCCATTGAATATGGCAAAAGTTGGTTACAGTACGTCTAAACCCTGCATGTGCTTTTCTTTTTAGCCCTTGCAACTTAAACCCTCTTTGCCCTTGCACAAAAATAGTACAGCCCAATTTGTAGTATTTAACGGTTAAATATTTTAACCCTAAACCTCACTTAAGGATTGGCTTCCCAACCTCCATCAAATTTAATTCTGAACCCGTCATTTTCTTATTTCATGAAAAGTCAAGTCTCAAAAATGTTCTACCTTGCATGTTACTTTTGACTACACTGTCCTGTCCTCCAGAGATGTTCACCACACCATAGTGTACAAATGTACATGTGTCTATTGCATGACGTTGTGAATGAAACAGGAATTGTATGACCAGGGTTCTTGAAATGTTATGGAAGAGATGAAGCACTTGCACACACCCTTAGTGCATGTCTGACATGATGAAAAATGTACCTAACAAAGAGTAATCTTGGTTTCATGTGTGTGACTTTGACAGCACTTCTGTGAGTGGAAAGAAATGGCATGTCTGTCTAGAGCAGGTTGCTTGTTGTCTTGTGTAGAGAAACTAGTTGACAAGGGACTTATAATACCATTGTTAGATGTTGTCATGTTCATTTTATTCTTTTATCAATGTATTTTCACTACTTGAAGTTTTGTTGTAGGCATCTCTCTAATATAAAGATGTCTTGTAAGACAGCTGAATGTGTGAGATTCGGTGATAATAATTGGTCACAAATTAATGTTGAAGATGAAGTGTGTTTCTAGGAATAACTTATGCACTATAGTTGTGATACACTGTTATCAAGCAAGGTCCCATCTGATATCTGTCCTTGGTGCTGATTGGCCAGTACCTTGAAAATCAAGAAATCTGTTGAGATTATATACCCCAAAATCCAGCCAGCATGCTGACACAACTACATTGTAACTATGTAAAAGAGTACATGTATACAAGGAGTTGATGTGCACTTTGTCCATCTCTGTTTTGTACTACATGTGATGTGCTTGTGTTTATGTGGGTACTATGTAGTAGAGGCATGCAGTATGCAGGTTTTATTATGTAGTTTGGCCAGTTGGCATACAATGCCTGTCTCTGTTGGCCCCAGGAACAAGACATCTCCTCTATCCTGGAGGCCGTCTACACACACAGGGTTCCTGATCCAGACTCAGTGGTCAACATACACCCTAAACAGCCTGGATTGGTATGTCTTCTTCTTCTTTTGTCGGCTGCTAGTGTCACCACACAGTCTCTCAGGCCCCCTTTACACTAGACAGCAATTCTGACTGTACAAAACTAGATTTGTGTTCTGCTAAGCATGACCAGCAACAACAGTTTGCTTCAAAATTGCTTGATTGAAGAATTATTTTCAGACATCTTCCATTGCTGTTCCTTCATATACACTGTATTAGTAAAGAAAAAAAAAGAAAAATTATGTGCATGTTTTATGTCAACCTTGGGTAACACTAGCATTGTTCATGCCCTATATGTATGCGTGGAATGTGGAGCTTATCGGAACATGTACATGTACATTGTAGTATGTAGGAATAGTGACACCATCTTACCACATCTCATCTCTCCACCCTGCAGGACTTCTCCTTCACATGTCCTGACCCAAGTTGTCTTCCTTCCATACCAGAAAATGTAAGACTGTGGTTTTACAGAATTGTTCCTTCATCCTAAGGGATCAAAGTACATCTTTTAATATTTCTACCAGACCAATAAGTAATTATGATAACCTGTAGGTAGGTCAATTAATGATAATCTTAATTACTGACAAAAGTATTACCAATGTCAGTCTCCGTAGTCTCAACGAGAAAATCCAAGCCCATTTTTACACAATCTTCAGCATCATTTTCACACCAGTCATGATCAGTACCACAACAGGTTAAAATGTAGGCAGGTAGGTGCTGTCCTTGGTGCTGAATGTATGGTATTCAGATTATACTAGAAATTAAAGACCTAGGGACAGATAACATTTTCGTGTCCTTTCTCATGTCTTTGACTTCAATTTTGGGGGGATTTCAGAATTACACCAGATGTGTGTATGTGTTAAAGTGTTCAATGACCAGACAATATATTTTTCCTTCATTGCAGAGAAATCTGACAGAGTACTATGTTGCTGTGGAGCCTATAAATATGCTCCATATCTTCTCAAGGTAGGACTAATAATGGTATAAATACAGACAACAATACATTTCTTGTATACATACATTTGTGGGGTTTTTTGGCTATTAATATTAAAAGCTGGCCCATAAAGGTCAACTACATGTAATTTGATGCTTGCAGTTGCAGTGAACAACTAATTTTGAACAGAAAAGTAATTTGCAGTTCCTGATGATTGAATGAAAACTTTTGTTACTTTACAGTATGTTGTATGAGAGAAGAATACTCATCACATCCAGCAAGCTGAGCACGGTAAGTACACTTGCTGGCAAAATTAAAAGATATTGTAGCACATAAGTACTATAAATTGTGACATAATGAAATACATTGTACCTGTATACATGGTCATGCATGATATGTAAATGTAGCTAATGTCATTTGGATAGAAAGATATTCATATAAAAATATTCATTTTCACATCATTGGTCATCTCATCAAGATGTATTCGCCAGATTAATATTAAAATTCTCTGGTCCCACACATTTGTGTGATATACATGTAATCTGCAATGTTTCTTCTCTCCACAGCTGACTGCAATTGTCCATGGGGCTGCATCATTACTCTATCCCCTCTACTGGTAAGGTTCATGCTCAGGCATTGGGTATCTAATCAATTGGAAATTATCTGTAGAACTGTGGGAGTTTGAAAACTTTTTGTGCAGGGGAAGTACGCTAAACTTTAATGTTTATTGTACATACGTGTATTATTTCTCTGTACTTTCTGGTTTATTCCTTCAGTAGTAAAACCATCTCACATTTGTCTGATCTCTACAGGCAACATGTGTATATCCCAGTCATCCCACCACATCTGCTGGACTACTGCTGGTGAGTCTGTTGTACCGGTAACCCTGACCAGTTAGAAATATCCTATCACAGGTTAATGGACTCTTCAACTTTCTGTAGACCTTTGTACCCTGGTTTTTGTGAAGTTGTAGTCATGTAACTGAACTAGTCAAACATTACTGAAAACCTAAAGTCTTCTGTCACTATTGCACAGATGTACTGTTCCTTCAGGTAAAATGTGAAATGTTTTCTTTTTGTTTTGATCTTTTAAATATACCTTGTCTAGTAAAGCTGTCCTTATGCTCACATCTCTGTTCCTCCCCAGTGCACCCATGCCATTCCTGATTGGTGTCCACTCTTCTCTAATGGAGGTATGATATCATAGCTTCATAGATGTGCACATAAAGGTTATACATGTATCATCAGTTTGTGGTATATTTTAATGACACTTTTCCTTTCCCTTGATACTACAGAAACCTAATGTTGCTGTATACAATGTAGACTTGTGTCAGTCCTTATTCACAGTTAGAAACGTACAGAGAGCCAAGCAATAATGACAAACTGACTTGTTGCTTACAAATGAGACAAATAGGTATGGTTTGTAGGCATACGGATGGTTGATAATTCATTAATTGATCATATGCCTGACATTTATGTTTCGAATTTGCAGAAAGTGCAGAGTATGGCAGGGTTGGAGGATATTGTTGTGTTCAATGCTGACAGCAACACCTTGGACACCCCGTTTGATGACCTACAAACACTGCCTCACGATGTGGTGAGTCAAACATACAATCGTGATTTCATTCTCTGTACATTTATTTTGGAGTATCATTCCACTACTTTGTGTACAGTAGTTTTGTGTTGTGCACCTGATGACATTTTTCCATTTCTCTGTTTTGCACAGATGTCCTCTCTCAAGAGTAAGCTGAAGAAGACAGGCACTATGCAGGGTGAGGGGGTGGCTAAGGCTTACCTCAGAGCCATGGTCCATCTCATAGGGGGATATAGGGATGCTCTCAGGTTCAAACCAGTAAGTACATACTACATAGTGAGTATGTTCAGTTGTAGTGATATTCAGTACTTTGAATTGCCATGTAAAAGAAGCCAAATTTCAGCCATAGAGAATCTTAGTGTAAGTATGACAAAACATTGTGAGCATGTGTTCACAAATTTAAGTATTTCAGTGTGAGAGAGCTAGATGGATTTGTTTGTGGCAAAACATTGGAGTTAAGATTGTAGTTGTGATATTCTGTCAGCTTTGTGATCTATGCCATTAAAGAACAAATGGAAATGACAAGTATTTTTGTCTGAACAGGGGGAAGAAATTACCTTTAGTGAAGAGGCGTTCATCTCATCCAGATCTAACAGTTCCAAAGAGTTCCTGACCAACGTCATACAAGGGCAACTCTTCAAACAGGTCAGTAGAGCAAATCCCGGTCATGAATGTGCCAAATCAGTGTAGCTTCCAAGTCTTGAAAGTTGTGATTACATGTACGGATAGTTTCATTTGGCCATCTTGAAATCAACTTGTGCATTGGTGACTGAAATGTTTCTATAATTGCTATGTTGTGTGCTGTCGTTTCTGTACAGTTCATCGATGGTAGGCTGGACCTACTGAACTCTGGGCAGGGATTTAGTGACGTGTTTGAAGAGGAGATCAACCTTGTAGACTACAGTAAAGGTGAGACTCCTCTTACCTCTTTTACACAGTAGGAGTGACAAAATGAAATCTTCTTTTCCCTAGTACCCATGAGATTATTTATCGTAAATAATCTATTTGTCCCATTACAAATATTTTGTGTAGTTATTGCTGAAAGTTGTATATGTGACGATAACAAACAAAGCTGTTGAACCCTGTTACAGGCAGCATCAAAACATACACAGCGTGGCTGAACAGTGTCAAGAAAGAAGGAGGAAACATCTTGAAAGGGGTTAGGAAAAAGGTAAGCAATGATACAGGTTTCATTGAAAATAGATGCCCAGCTGTCTGCTAAGATGAGATGTAGCATTTTCTTATGTGTTAGGGCTGTTGCTGGCATCAATGGGTGACATGCAGTGCTTTTTTCAGAGTTGGAATGGACACAAATAAATATATGATTCTATATTTGTGTATGGACACATGTATCTTGTTTGACAAGTTTATTGATACCAAGGTGTTATGGGAATGGCTTTTTTTGCAGTTCATGTATGCAGTTATGCAAAAGGTAGAATGACAAGTGCTTCTCTTTGTTTTCATTATATAGGCAAAACCTGCAGTCAAAAGCATGGTTAGCACTGTAAGTTATCCCCTTGCTATTTTCTTTGTACAAACTTAAGACAAGATGAGTGTAAAATGTTTGTAGAATGCTGTAGCATTTGCATGAGGTATATGGTGTCATATCACAATATCATGCTGACAATGCAAGTAATCTAGTTTGTTCCAACCACCTGTTGTTTAATTTTACCTGGGATATGCATTGTATGAAAGGAATGAAGTGTGCTAATTTGTGTTATACTAACATTATAGATGGTTACATTACATGTCATGGTTATCATGTCCTAATACTCCTGTCACCACAGGGAAAGGATGTGGCAAAACTTGCTCGGGAACAGGCCAAGAATGTGAAGAGTAAATTCAAGCAGTCAAAGGTTAGTGCACTCGTGACCCAACGTCAGCTATGCTTTTGTGAGCAAAAATTCAAACAGCAAAACTTGACTTTGTATACTTTCTGATCAACGTGGATAAATGGACCATGTAGGTTTGATTTGGAGAAATGTGTATGCAACAAAAGAAGTGAAGATCAGTTACTGTACATCCCTGAATACTTGAGGATGAAAGATTTTTGTACTACATGTCAAGACATGTCTGATGATATCCATATTCTGACTCCAGGAGAGTGAGGACATATTTGATGCCCGTAAGCACCGTGGGTCCCAGCCTGGCCTCATCATCCCTAACCGAGCAGACGGACGGAGAAGTGCACCTGACTCACCTGAGGACGAGAGGAGAAGACCCATCTCACACCATGTCAGGGTAGGGGTGACTGCCATGCCTTCATATATATATAATCTGTATTGATGTCCATCGTAGCAGTAGTGATTGTAATCATAATGTGTGCAGTTGCTGTACGTTGACGATGATTTTGAAACATTTCTATAAAGACCTCCAGTATTCCATGAAAAGCTGTGTTTGCCATGTCTCAATTTTTCTAACTGCAAAAATGAATGAAAGAAAATCAATCTTTTTATAACCTTTGTTGTTCATTCTGTTGATAAGTTAGTTATTTTGTTTTGCTAGATCTTGTTCCTGTCAACATTCAATTTACCATCTCCAAAACACAAGAGGCAAAACAATGAGATTGTGTAGTGGAAGTAGTAAGCCCATTGTGTGTTAACATCATCATGTGACATTGCTGATCTGTGTTTTCAGCCGAGAGATGTCCCTCCCAAACCTACACCATATCACCTACGTCAGTCCATGGCCATCAAGCCAACACAAGAGCTAGTCAGGCCGCGAACTACTTTATCAACCAGGGAGAGGTACGTGGACATGTTGAAGTTTCATGATGTACAGTAAAATTAAATGTGACTGACTGACTACACTTTAATCAGTTGTACATATTGTTAACTGAACATTGTGCGTTTGTATCCCTTTTCTGTGTGGATCTGTTTTGATTCTTCTGTGGATTTCTGATAATGTCTAACTTCTAATGTGGTTTTGCAGCTATTCTCTGGGACTAAAGCTGCTGGTACATGGTCTTCATAGTGTTTAGGCTGCTTATGTGCAGTTATAACTGACGGACAAACCCAGCGTGTAGTTCACATGTTCTGGTACAAAGTTCCATTCCAAGTCTCCAGTGCATTTTTTGCAAAAGGATTTCGAAAGATTTTTGTACATTTTTAAATTATCAAACAGGTTTCTATGTAACAGTTCAGTTCCCTATTTGTTGAGAGAGATGTGCTTTGACCAAAATAATAGTTGATGAAAGAATCTCATATCTTTTTACTGTAGTACACTGGTCTAAATACACATTGATCAGTTTTTACCTGCGACACATTTTGCACAACTGTTATTTTTTGTCAAACTTTCAATACAAAACATAAGAAATTCTAAAACTGCTGATATGCAGAAGGCTATAGATAAGTAACCCGTCTAAAGGCAGCCTTTGTCACATTTTAGGGACAGCGGCATAGAGCAATTAGATCAAGACGGTACATTGGACGGAGACTTGGACGACAACGGTCAATTGTAAGACTGCGCTTATCAACAGTATAGCAACAGCGGCAGCCTACTGTTTAGCATATATATTATTATGTGGCTTTCCCCCATCACATTCTAATGACTTTAACTGCTTTGTCAGAGTTAACTGCATACTTTTCCATCCACTTCCTTGTTAAAAGGTTTTAACTTCAACTTCACTCAATCTGCAGCTTTGCTGTAACTTCACTTGACTTACATCTGTGGTGGAGGGACTTCGGACTTGTTCTTACTAGTTAAACTGGTCATTTTGAAATTGGAAAGACACAAGGAATTTGGCATATCTGTATGCCTTTTATCGCTGCTGATTACATAATATATTTTACATGTTTATAGAGCATACCTTGATTTTTGTACTTGCCAAATTTCCTGTGTGTTTCCAATTTCAAAGTGACCATTCTTTACTGGTACTATAGAATCTTTTAGGAACTTAATCTAACATATGACTTTTGCCACTGGAATCTTAAAACCTTTCTGATTTACCGGCAGCCCTTCTGCAATTATGATTGATTTGAATGTAGATGTTGTGTCATGTTTTTTTTCTCATTATTCTGAGCATGATTTATTTTGCATGTGCTTGTTATGCCTTGTGAACTAACCTTTGTCTCTAACATTAACATTAACATACATGCTGCTTTTAACAGCTCTGAAATACTAAGCCATAACACTCTATTGCAGATTTGCTTTTGCTGAGTAACAAGCTTGCATTGCCATTGACGTATTTAACTTAATGCCACATTGCCAATTGCTTTGAAGCTTTAACTGATTTGTGTGGTTTACAGCTAATGCAGCTTTTATGTATATTTTATTTTTTTGAGATTACAGTAGCAATTATATGCAAGCAATTATATGCAAGCCATAGTACATGTGTATGCTTCTTTGCTTGGTCATGTAGTATAGTCTGCAGTTAAAACTAAGCTATGTCCAAGCAATTGCATGTACATTTTTAGTGTGCTGCTATAGAATTATCTTATGATGATATGCTAGTCTTGTAGCATTTCTTTTTGGTTTTACTAAAAGTAGTGTCAGATTATGTGTTATACATGTGTACAGCCAGGCTCTCTGCACAGAGCCCCTATGTTTTAGCAGCAGTGCTAACAGAAGGCTGCGCTGTCTCCCTGTCTCTAGACCCCGGCATTATGACCTGCTGGACTTGGACGACCCTTCCACAGACAGGACCAGTATGTCCAGTAGCCCTGGCTTCCAGGCTCTGAACCTTGACTTCATGAGGTATGGTAGCATACCCACAGAAGGCTGGTGATTGGGCGCTTTGCTTGCAGGGCTTCATAGGAGAAACTTTTTCTCCTTGCACAGAATGGTATCGAAGATGTATATGCTGGAAATTTCAAATTCTCATGATGAGCTGCTTTTGTAAATGTGAAGATTCAAACTGAAAATGTTGGCTTTAATGTAAGGGAAAAACTTCACAAAATGATATCAAAAATGTATATGTTGGAAATTTCAAATTCTCATGAGCAAATTCAAAGTTTTCAAACTGAAAATATTGACCAAACGTTTGGGGGGGCTGCGCACTATGAAATGCTTGGAACACTTTCAAACCCATTCATGAATCAAACTATGGCTTTTCAGTATGCTTTAACATAACTTTCACAATCAAGCAATGATATAAACATTGCAGATCTTTTCTGTTGTTAGAAAAGCCTGGCAAATTAGGAATGCCTCAGACAATCACTGAAAAATCTGATAGATGGTGATGATGGCATTTGAATGCATGAAATTGCAGCCAGAATTTACAGAGATAACCAACCACAATCACCAGCTTTGTGCAGAAGCAAAGGGGCCCCTGACAGCGACCCTTGGTGTTCTTGTACTGTCTGTAACATCACACTGACATCGTCCTCATCATCTCCTACCTGTGTGGCACCCCAGCATGGCCCCACTACTGTTTCCTGGTGGGATTTGGTGATGGAGGAAGCAGAACAGTGTTTTTCTTAATTCAACCTTTTGATTTAGCCTACTTATTAATCATTACCTACATGCATTGTAGTCTTCCTTTAGTTGCAGCAGTTTCTTCATCCTGACATTGCCAGTCACTTTTAACTCAGGATGTCACTAAGGTTTCTCCACCTGGGTTTTGGATCAAAAACATAAACCCATTCTTACACGATTAACAGCAGAAATAGATATCACAAAAGGGCTCATAAAACTTATTTTTACTGTACTGAGATCTGGGTGGATAGCCAGTGAACCTTGTGGCTTCCCTGCATTGACTACATTTGTACATGTACACTTTCAGTAACATTTCTTTGTGTACTAATTCACCTTTGGTTGCGACTTGCAGTTTGGTTTGCCATGCTGTGTGTGAATTGTGTGCTGCACGTTGAAGGTTTGGTGATGTCATGTGTTTGGATGCTGATGTACATGTACTCATTGACTTCTTATGGTGTGCTGTAGTAAAATGTCTTTCCTTGTAGTAAGCTGGAGTGTGTTACAGCAGCCAAACTTGTGGTGTGCAGGTTGATTTCAGGGTCGACCTGCACTGATGAGTCTGAAAGCACCATACTTGCTCTAATAACTGCACAGGTTTTGCAAAATTATGGGCCCCAATCCCCAGTCTTCAGATCCTAGCAACACAGTAATGATGGATATGTTCTCAAGTGTCTGACATGTGCTGTTCTTGGAGCAAACGTTGGTGTTTTAGATTATCTGATGGTGCAAGCAGGTTCTAAAGCTTGCTGCTGTGTTTTGCAGGGACTTGGAGGATGTGTTTGCCTCCATGCGCCTGACCAAGGAAAGCAGCAGTGAGGAAACAACTCCTGTGTCAGAGGAACCAGCAAATGAGGTTTGTATTCTTCTCTTCAGCCTTGCTTTCATTTCTATATTGCTAAAGTTTTGGAGGTCTTTTTCCTCTAAATGCTACAACCAAAAAAAAAGCAGAAAGAGTAAGTTTGTTTTATTATAATCCTTGCTTCGTTGTCTCATTACTGTCCATTGTCCAACAGGTTGATGCCAACCCCTATGGAATCCCTGCAGTCCCGAAGACGAGGCCACCCATCGCCATTCCTAAAATCAAGAAGAAAGAATCAAGCGCTCCAGCTCTGTCCCTTCCCGAATCCTCCGGCGCCAAGAGCACCAGTTCCCCCAACACACCCGGGGAGTCTCGCCGCCCTGCCAGGCCCCCCAACCCTCCCAGCATGCACAAGTCTGTATCCGTGCCGTCCGGCATGAGCACCCAGCAGCTGAGAAAGTCCACGGACATGCTCGTGACAGAGATGTGGCAGGAGTCGAACAACCTGGGCGTCGCCCAGTCGGACACCAGTAGTGACTCCTCCGTCAAGTCTACTGTCTCTGTTCCAGAGGGAGGGGTGAGGGCAAGGCCCCCTAGACCGCCTCCTCCTGCCATGATGCAGCAGCAGAAACTGTCTAATTCCGAGGGACAATCCCTGATAAACTTTGACCCATACTCAGATGCAAATGCCTCCAAGCCAGCTGTAACCTTCACGGTGGGCACACAGCCACAAGCTGACCCAGAGAAAAGTGCAACAAACACTTTGTTGAAGGAATATGGACTGGACACCTACTACACACAAAGCTTTATGCACCAGGCTCCAACCCTGCCACCCAGTGGATATCAGAACCCAGCATCATCTGGCAGTAGTTTTCCCATGCCACAGGGGTCTTGTCAGGCCCAGGCGAGCAGCTCAGTAGGTAGTCAGGCTTCCTCGTGGAACCATGTTCCAACATGGACGCAAGGTCAGAGTCAAAGTCAGGTTCTGAACCCTGTCAAAGTCCTGGATCCCATCAGGCCAGGGGAGAAACAGGACCCCTTCGCGGACCTGGTGTCCTCCACACGCGCGGACGTTGCAAAGAAAAGTGCCGGTTCCCAAGTCCAGCAGGTCAAGAAGATGTGGGAAACGTTTGAGTAGCTTCTGCTTCCATCACACAACTGCACATAATAGCAGAAAGCTGAGATAGATGTACATGTGTACAGTAGTACTAGTAGTACATTCAGTGTACTTACTCTGGATTGTACCCCCATTTTGGCCTTGTTAATATCTACACAAGACTCCAAAGCCTTAGGTAAAACCAGTGTGGTAGATACATGTATGTATGATATACACATTGTACATGTAAGATTCAGATATGTCATAGCCTCTGCTTATGTCAGTTTTCTTGTCCCCTAAAGCTGGAGGAGGAACAATCTTTGTCTTGAATAAAACCATTTTGTACTTCTGTTTATGTACATGTATCATTGCTGTAAATTTGGTCTATGTCAATAGTTATATCAGTATTGATGAACTGGCATTTAGGTAATTGTGCTGTTTGGTGATCTGTTGTGGTATCTATTTTCAGTGATCTGTTGTCACTGTGACATCCATACTGTAAATGGCCGTCACTCTGGTTTTTTTATCGGCAAAGCTGTATTAAGCCTAGACCAGCCAAAACTGCCACAAGTCTCATGAAACATTCTCATTTCATAGCATTGTCACACTTTTAATAAGCCTTCTACGTGTAGATACATGTATATGACAAAACATTTTAAACTCTCAAGTCTCTCTACTCTTCTTGCAAGATATGAAATATGGAAGTTGCATTTAATTCAATGATTTTAACATTTTCATAACGTGTCTGTTTATATGAAATGAAATGTTGAGGAACAACTCTATGGTTTGGTTTTAACAATATGCAAACATTCACTATTGAAAGACTGACAGTACTTGTTACATGTTACACTTCAGTGCCAGTCACTGCCAACTAGTACTTGAGGTGTAGCAGATTGAAGTGTCCTCAGACGTGAAAATGCAATAGAACTAAAGCTGAAAGAAAATGTAACTTCTGATGACAAAACACTTTGCTACTATCATTGTAGGTAAACATGAACTAGATGCTGCTCTTTAGCCAGGTGTAATGTTCACGAAAAAATTGTCTGATTCCAACTTACAACACATTGACATTCTGTTTGTTTCTCTGGTTTGGCCTTGTGTGTGGGGAAAGTGCATATTGCTGTCTTGATTGGAGGAATGGAGGTAGCTCATTTATCAATCTAAGGAGTGAAGTGATGAAACTTTGTCAAGAGAGTATGTTTAAAAATATGTGAAATAATGGCAATGGCATAGTGATGACAGTTCCATGTCTAAAGGCATGTGAAGGATTGCCAAATATGGGTGAGGCATGATCATGTGACCAGAAAAAGTCCTGATATAACCCTTGACCTTTGGTGTGAAGAACAGAATGTAACAACCTTCTGGTACTTGAGAAGATAGCTATTGTTGGAATATTGTGGAAGATGCCCTTCTTACATCATAGTTTAAAATGAAGATGAAAGAGCAAGTGCAATACACATTATATCTTCATGCTGATTTACAAGATATGGCTTGACGAGTCCTTAGTGTTCTAAAGTTACGAATTCCAGTGTTGAAACGTTTTCCATGTACAGAATAGAACTACAAATCTTTAATTTGACATAAGATAATAGCTAGTTTGAATATAGCCACTCAACTGTGATATGAATATTGAATTATGTATATACACATCATCATACCCTTAATGAATACATGACTTTGTACATCTAATTATATGATTAGTTGTAGTTGCAATAATCTATGTAAGCTCTTCAGTTGCAATGTATCTAGATGGATGTCATTTTACAGTGTGCCAGAATTGAAGCCACTTGATTTTCTTATTTTACCAGGTACATTCTTCCATGCTAGAGTACTACATTGCATGCACATGCTACATTGTACAAAGATGTCAAAATTGCATCGCTACTTTAAGCCGTTCAAGGCTCTTGTAAAATTTTGTAAATTTTTGTTGTTGCACCATCCCTGACATGAGCCATGAACCTTTTATCTGGTCAACAAGATGTGATCACCTGAGTGGAATACTTTCCTACTGTGTGAAGTTTTAAAGCTGTCTCTGTGTGGTCAGAATTCGTATTTGTGCCTATACATGCTGTCAAAACATGCAGAATCGCTATTAGGTTAATAAAAAGGTCAAAAAGAATAAATTAGATGTTTGTGTTTTTGTGACTTTGTCTGAAAACTTCTTAATTAGCTTAGTGTTCATCTTAACACATTAAAGGGTGGTTCAGGAGTTCGCTGTTCTTTGTGAGAATTGTACAACTGATGCCTTTTTCAAACAATGACAATAAGACTTCGCATCAAACTGTTAAATAGAAGGCCAACAAATCTGTTGTGCCAAGCCTTGTACAAAGGAAGCATTGTCCGTCTTATCATTGAATCATTTGGTAATGGTGGTTCAGGAAAGAGGATATTTTTGCACCCTCAGATGTGCCTTGTATTTACGAAAGAATCATGACTGTTTTTCTGTTTTGGCAGGACGTTTCTTTGCACTCCGTTGATGTCGGGTTGCCCAAGGCCAAAGTTTGGATCCACTTGTAGGACGGACAGACCCCAACATGTATGTGTCAAAGACCTCCCTGTGTTGTTGACTGAAGGAAAGACTTTGGTGCTTCTGTGTTTTGTTGGTCTGCTGCTTGCCATCTGGATGCTGGGTTTGTCCAGCCTTTGATAGTGGAATGTTAGAAGAACGAACAGTGGGATATGCTGTTTCATACGGACTTTCCTGCACTTGTATCTTAGTCTTTCCCTCTGTCTTGTGTCGCCGGTTGCATTTCGCCAGGGCAGAAAACCTAGCCTTTTTACTTTTTTCTTCACGTTTCTTGTCTTTTTTCGAAAGGCATTCGAAGAGTGACGTGCGTCTGTTTTGCTGAGAAGATACAGTTTTGCTATCCTTCTTACTTTCATGGTCCCCACTCTTCTCAGTAGGTATTGCAGTAATGGACTTCGAGAATGTCACTTTCACCTTTGCCTTGCCCCTGGACTTGGTGTAAGTCCTACAAGTGGCTTTTGACAACTCACCATTTGGCTGGGAAATTTCACTTCCCTTTTGTATCAATGGTTTCTTTTTGCTGTTGCCTTTTTGCTCCTTATCTGCCAATACTGAGCTTGCTGCCGGTTTGGAAGGACTGTGGTTGTTCTGTGTAACTGCTTTCTGATGGTTTGAACTGACACTGTTAGCTTTGCAGTCATCTTTCTTGCCAGGATTTGCTGATGTTAATTTGGTTGTTGGCATTGAAGGACTGTTGTATTGTGGAGCTGGTTTTGGGTAGTTTAACCCAAGGTCAATTTGTTTGTTCTTCTTTCCCGTGTACTTGGGCTGCTTTTCTGTTGGAGTGCTGGTAGTATTAAGTGTAAGGCTAATGTCACTATGAGAGACAGGGGAGTCTGCAATGGAAGAGCTTTTCTCATTCACTTGTTTCTTCTTATTGAAGTTGTGTGCAGGTACAGGTCTTGGAATTTTGCTGCCATCAGTCCGATGACGTCCTGTCCAAGCAGCTTTCAGGGAAGTGGTTTCGCTTGGGATGGCTTCTGTCAAAGAACCGTCTCTTCTCCTTTTGGTGATGTCCTTAGAACTTGTGTTCTTGCTTGCATGCACATGTCTGGGAATCTTTATGTCATCTCTCACTGGATGATCTGTACTAGCTTTCAAGGGGACAGTTTCAAATTCCCTTGAAATAGCTTTTGTTGCTGAATGATTGCTTCTATCTTGGGCCTTGGTCCCATCAGATTTCTTATGGCTTATAGTCTCACCAGATGTCTTACGGGTCTCATGAGATGTCTTTAGGGGAATGGCCTTATCGGGTTTCTTAAGGGCAATGGTCTTCTCAGATGCCTTAAGGGTAATGGTCTCATCAGATATCTTACTCTTCTGCTGTCGTGTTTTCTTCTCTTCTTTCCCAGATGTGTGGGTTGACTCAACAACTGGATTGTCTACTCTGGTTACTGACGCCTCAGAATTGTTGCTGATGTTGTCACCCCCACACACTGTTGACTGAGACTTCTTGACTGTGGTGTTAAGTCTGTCATCAATGAAGAAGCTGCCATCACCGTGAACAATTTTCAACTCTGGAGAATTGAAAATTGTTATCGGGCTGCAAACAATACTGCCAAGTCCCTTAAGCGCTACATTCTGAGTGATGGGAAGGAAGTGGAATTTCTTTAAGCTGAAGGGTCGTGACAATTCCACCAGTAATTTGGACAATTCCATCTGTGTAGAATGTATCATATTGGCACTGGGACTGCGAACATGAATCAACTTCTCTGCACTGTCACAGGCTTCTTGCAGCAAGTCACCAGTTCTGTCTACTGACGCTTTTGCTTTTGATAATGCAGAGATATTCCTGCTATATCTGCTCTCGAGATCCTTCATCAGCATTAGTTCTCTGTGCTGTAGGTCTGAGATAATCTGTTGTACGATATCGTGCACTTGTTGCTTTATATTCAGCATGTTGTGTTTCATCTCTATGCCTTGCTGGTTCAGTTCCTTCATCATTAGGCCTCTTTCTTTCAGCTTTGCCCTGCAACTCTGTAGAAGACTTTCCAAATCCCTGATATCTGTTGGGGAGGTTTTCTGGCATTCTAACTTGCTGCAGTGGGTGTCGCTATCGCTATGTCCAGTCTTCATTTCTGCTTTGTAGCAGCTAGCATTACAAGCCGCCAGTTGTTTGGCTTTTCTTATCTTATTCAGGTAGAAGTTGAATGGCAAACCGTCAATCCCATCTGGAGGAAGCACGTCGATGTCCTGGCAAGTGGGACAGGTTATACGGGCAGGACGGCCGCTGATGTGGGCATGCTGCTGCAGGCAGTCTTGGCAGAACGTGTGGAAACATCTCAGGCCTCGGGGGTTCCAGAACTCGCCCTGACAAATGCCACAGACCGGCTCGGGAGAGGGGCTAATCGGGTAGTCTGGTGGGAAGGACTGGCGAACAGAGTCGTCAGTCCTATTCATGGTGTCATCCATAGTTTCAACCTGATTACTGTGAAAATACATTGTATGTAACCGTTAACTTTTTACATCTAACATACAATAAACTGTGGTTGATGTTAACTAACGATTATTAAAAACTGTCGACTAAATCACCAGCAACTAACTTTCTATCTATAGACTCTCTACTAGACTCTTGTGTCATTGATCTAACATGTTTAAAAGTAAGGCCATGTTGATTTGATTATATGGATGACATCCTCCGGGAGCCCCAAAACTGATGCGCGCGTGCGAATAAAAAAAAGTTTTGCAAAAAAAAGTTACTTTTCTATTATGAAATCTACGT